TTCTTTCGTGTTTGACATGATGCAAATCTAGGGTTAATAATTACTTTATTATTATTATATTAGAACAAATGAAGAATATTACTTACAGTATTGTAATATAATATATATATATATATATAATATATATAATATATAATATATATAAGAGGGCTGTCGCATTTTCAGCTCCGCGTTATATGGAAACCGCGTTCTGAGAGTACCGCGTTTATAGGAGGGTTGACTGTATAATCTTTCAAAATAGGGGTAGTCCTTTTATAATCACACTGTACATCTGGAACTTTTTTCATTTCTTTTTTTTTTCAGATCAAATAGTCTACGTGAATACAATCCTACAGTTGGAAACATTTCTAATCGTACCTGGAATCTTTTTTAAATAGAAGAAATAAGAAAGCTGTTTTTTTTAGGACTTGAATTTCTTTTTTGACCGTTCTGTATTTTATTTCTTATCGTCGAACATTATTATTAATCCAAATGGACAATAAACAAAACTAACAATGAGTCAAATATTTTATATATTAAAACTAAACCTATTGACACTTTACGTATACCTATTTCTACAGTGAGTTGTCAAATGACTGCTGTAAAAAATTAAAAATATATTTTAATAATATTAAAAATGAAATTGTAGTCATTAGGATAGTGATTCATTTATAAATGAATAATGTGTATATTTATTTTTAATGCATTTTAAATGCATTTTTTTTGTCAAATTACAGGACCTGACCATCATTTCACAGCACTTGGTAAATTTAGATCTTTTTTTCTAAACTTATTGACATCTGTTCTTTTCAGGATAAAGTGTCTAGTGTCGTTTGAAACCTTTTTCATAGTTGAATTTCATTGGCTAGAGCTGTAGGGTTACGCCCCTTGCGTATTCACGGATATTCTCCTCCCCTAGGAAATTTCAAGTTTTCCTGCATGCTTTACTACTGTAGGTAGTAAGTAACCTAGGGTTAGGAAACGAAGAAAGAGAGAAGAATATAAAAGGGAGAAGACATAGGCGTAAGTACTCAATTTAATTAGAAATTTTGAAATTTTTGATTATGCTATCAAAATTCTTCTTTAACACGTTGAGTGCCACGTCAGTCATTTATGACTGACATTAGACTTTCCGTGTCCGTCACGGATGCCTGACACTTAACTAATTTTTCAATACAAAGTAACGTCTGTGGCCTAACGGGAATTTTTCTAAGAATTTTTTATGGCGCCCCCCAACGTGTTAAAGGAAAGGCTTCAATAATATTCAACAATACTTCAAACTTTCGGAAAAACGTCTGACCATTAAAGAAATTTGTATTTCTTTTGTTTTAGTGATTTGGGTCTGTTGTAATGAAATACACCATATATGAGGATAATAGAAATGAATCTTTTATAATAGCCACCTTTAACTATCAAAAAGGTTTCACAGTGAATTTAAACATGTTTGGGTCTTCATTTTGTTTGTTCCTTTTCAGAATAAAAACTCTACAGGAATAAGGCTCTGTAATGTTTAGATATTATTGAAAGGAAGAATTTGAACAAAATAGACATTGAACAAAAATGGGATATTTGTATTTACAAGGTAAGCTTTTTAAAAAATTATAATCCTATATTATCCTTTTCTAACAATAGTCGAAATTTTGTAAAAAAGAACAAGAAAATTTCAACTTTATTTTTATGATAATATTTTTCTTATTATATAATTTTTTTTTTTCAAAACAAAAACTTCTACAAGAGTAGGGCTCTGCAATGGTACTCATTCTTTTCTTACGGTTGTTAAATTTTCTATAAAAAAAAAAAAAAAGAAAAAATCAACTTAATTTTGATAATAATATTCCTTTTTTTTTGTTAATTACTGACATACTGTAAAAATGACGAAATTTTAGTTATTATTGAAAGTAGAAATTTGAACAAAAATGGAATTTTTTGATATAACATTATACGATAATGTCGGCCATTTTAAAAATTATAATAATGTAAATTTTTCGTAAACGAATATAATATATCTGTGAAATCTTTTTAAAAATACATCTTACGAATATGTTTATTAATTAAATTTTATTACTTTTTTTTATAGTTATTTTACTGTATAAACTTGAAGATATACATTCTAACCTAACATAGGTAAAAAAGAAATTCAAGGCACGTATTGTTGAACATTACAAAGAACATAAAAAAGAGAAATTTTCTTTGGAAGACGCTAGATGTCTCTAGAAAAAAGAACACGTTTCAGTAGAAGTTTATTGTAGGCAGTAAGAAACGTTATTCTTAAAAATTATTTTTACATAGTTCGTTTTATTAAGTTCTGCTGTATATATTTAAAACTTTTCACAATATATTAAATTAATTATTTTTTTTTTTTCCAAATAATACAAAGAAATAAGTGAAAGTGTTCGTTCGATTCAAGAAGGTTCTTCTTTGTTCATTTTTTCGAGAAGGAAATGTATTATCATATTATTTTTGAAATATTATTCAAACCGGATGTATTGACGTCACATGAATGTAAAAAAGAAACTTATCAATGACTCATGCTGCAATACGGAAGATTATATTCTTTTCTAAAATGTTATTTTACAGAAAAGAGATAAGATAATAGTCTCCAATAGCACAAGGTTTTAACCTAAAAATGATATTTTAAAAAATAATACAGTAAGGTAATTCATTATAACACATTTACTAAAATTAGTTTTTTTGAAAATTTAGATTTCAAGTAAAATTATACGATAAGATAAGATAAAAGTTTTCAATAGCACAAGGTGTTAACCTAAAAATGATATTTTAGAGAATAATACAGTAAGGTAATTCATTATAACTCATTTACTAGAATTAGTTTTTTTGAAAATTTAGATTTCAAGTAAAATTATAATGGCTGTGATCTTATATTAAAACGGAGTAAGTAATTAATTTATAAAAAAAAAAAAAGGAAAATTCCTGAATGTTTTTCTCATAGAATATTCTTGTAAGTTCCACACGAATTCTGTAATATAACTCCACTTTTATATTGAAATACAGTGCACGTGACTACAGTTTATCATATTTTATATAAATTTGGTATTATATATAAACATTTACACACATTATATACAAATATAATAATGTTTACAGGATGATCAAAAGATTGAAAAAAATTGGTTTAATTAATTTGATCAATTATTTGTTTCAGTGAATAAAGCAATAATATTACTAAACTTTATGAATTATTTTTGTTCTGTATAAGGTGCAATAACTAACATCATCACAATACTTTATCAGTTATTTATTTTCTAAAAAATGCGATAAAATGATTAAAAATTACGCATTAGAAACGAGAAACCTTGACGAATTCAAGTGTTTATGTTCAATCAGGAAGATAAAACCAAGAAAGGTATGTTCTTTTTTTGACCGATTATATTTATTATTTATAAGTAAGTATTTATTTTTCAAATATAAAAGATATTCATATCAATTTGAGATCTGATCTCAAAAATTTTTTTCTCTTCTTTTTTTATTAATATTTTTATTAATCAATTTTACGTATATAATATTTTGTATTTATTATTTATTTAAAATTTATGATTCTTTTTGCTTTATTACATTTTTCTATAGGGACAATAAAATAACTGTAAAACAGTAATAAAATAATAACATAATATAATAAGTATTGTGCACATGTGAACTTTACTAAACAAAAAAATGAAACTTTACTAACTATCTAATTTATAAATGTTTTTTTTAAATTGTATATAATAGTATAAAATAAATAAATAAATAAATATATATATATATTATTTCTTCCCAATAATTTCGTTTTGTAGAAATAGATAAAAGAACTCGTTTTACTGCATGACTTAATCGCATCACTGAATAACATCAGTAAGTTACGAAACTGTAAATTTGTAAAAATTCGTCAGCCTGATCATCGTCTTTGTAAAAGTTTTTAAACTTTATCTGTTATTTGCGTCACTGAAAATACTTTAACATAATTATTTATACGCAATCTAACTAATTACGTTTATTTACTAAAAATTTCAATATTCATTTTATCGAAGTATTTAACTTTGAGCGATTGCAAAATTAATTTTAATTAATACGATATCAAAATACAACACATTTCTTTAATATATATGTGAAAGAAACTTTCCAATTAATTCATTGTATTAATTACATATTTATGATTATTATTTTTACAATAGAAACAACATAGATTTTCTAATGAAATCGGTATTTGTGGTAAGTTGCCAACTTTAGTGGAAAGATTACTAATATTTGTTGATTCGCAATTTCTATTTTTATAACTAACATTTATATTTATAGTTAATGCAATGAAAATAAATCATTTCATGTATATATTTTGATTTGTTTTAATTTATTTATAAAATATCATAATGTGCGTTATCCAACGTATATTTCAATCGTTTGTTTTATAGTGTGTAATCAATACTTGTTATTTAAAGTAACGAAATAAATTATTTTTATTTTAAACATTTTCTCTCTGAAATTACTTTCAAGGTATACAGTTTTACCATTCGAATGTTGATAAATATTTTCTTTTATATTATTGTATATATGACTTATACATTTATATGTTCATAAGTTTTCACACCTATCGATACTGAGGTTTATATTTCTCGATAAAAATAAATAATATGTTTAATTTTAATTTCGAAAATCCGCAAGATCATTTCAAGGACATGTCACCAATCATTATAATACATTTATAAACGCACGACAGTTATAAATGTAAAGAAAAAAATAAGAATATTGTGTTAGCCTTGAAAACTAAATAAAAAAAAAAGATTTTAGCGCGTATTTTGTGCAACGTATTCGTCTTTTGTGTGTGTGTATGTATGTGAGATTCAAAATAAATAATAAAAATTTCCATATAATATTACAAGTAACAAAAATATTAACGTGGCTATCTTTATATCTAAAAACCCTAATAATAAAAATAATAAATATGATACAACAATTGTAAAGTAATAAATATTTCGTCAAAGCAATTACTGAAGAACTTTCTAAAGTTCACATTTACTCGGATGTTGCCTAAATTGTTTGAAAATTTCTCAATAATCAAATTTTCTCAAAACAATTGCCGAGGAACTTTCCAAAATTCTAAATAACCATTTATGTCCCCCATAACTAAGATGTCTCTGAAATAGAAAGTAATAATATAAAACTAAATATAGAAAATACAAGTGAAATATTAAAATTCACAATGAGTTTTCTTCAATCTATCGATTGCCGACATTTTCAATACGATCACATACCTTTTAGAATTGACACATAGATTACTAATACTAGCTTTGCCAGTTATTTCGAGTTTTATATTAGTCATGGCTTTACCATCGGTTTCGTTATAAAATTTAATTTCATTTCCAGCTCCAAATGTTGCAAATATATTTTTATTTCCTGTCATCCACGTTAAACCAATAATGGTACTTTCCACCGAAATTGATTGCTGACAAACGTTCTATACATAACAAGAAATTGATGACTCTACTTTTCTAATGTTTATCGAAATATTATTTATTGAAAGTTTACCTGATCCAAATCGTATATACGAATATCTTTATTCATCCCACAGGCAATAAATGAATTACGATTTGGTGAACATTTGATACACGTTATACTTCCTTCGTGTGTATCGTACTTATCTATCACTGGATCCGAAAGATTTTCATCTCCTATACAATTTGACAAAATATTACAAATATTACATTATTACAATAATAAATTGTATTATTAATTAATTGGATAAAATAATAATATTAAGTTAAGCATAAAGTTCGTTCACTGTTCTCATGTAACAAAATGGTACAATCATCATTGATTAATCTAATATTAAAATATATATATATATAACATTAACTATAACATGAACTGACTTTAAACTCAATTTAATACAATATAAAAAATATTCATATACACCTTCGATAGGAGAAACATGATCGAGAGAACATTTATATATTCCACCGCATGATGTTCCAACAATGAAAATATTAGGATCTTTCCATGAAAAATCAAAACTGGTAATACATAGTCCAGCTTCTGCTGCACGTTCGCGTGTACCTCCTGCGCTTCGAGGTCTCGAATTTTCTATTGGATTATGTTCTTTTATTATTTTGAATCTTAAAAAGAGAAAATAAATTCTACAATAAACAGAAATTCATATGTTCTATTATAAAATGAAAAATATTTAAATTATACATACTGTTTGTGCAAACGAGTTGTAAAGTTAGCCATTAATTTGTTAACTGCGATATATCCATCTCTACTTGCACTTATTAACATAGAAACATCATTTATAGTTTTTGGCTTCCAATATATTTGAGAAACGATATCACCATGAACATAAACATATATTGGAATAAATGAATCATCATTTCTAAGATTCCAAATTAATACATCTCCTGTAATGATAAATTCAAATTGATATGTTTTATGGGTTTGTGGAATAAAATTAAAGATAGAAAATATAAATGAATACCATTCAACAAGCCTGCTGCTAAAATTGAAGGTTCAACTGGATGATAAGACAAGGTTGTAACACAAGAATTGACTTCTAAAGTCTTATTAGGATTATCTGAAAGTTGGTCTTCTCTCGATAGACCGTATAACTTTATTTGTGTAGGATGATCACACCAAGTTTCATGGTATACAGCACTATGAGATACAGCTAATGTTCCACCTGCAATACTCCATGACAAATCACTTATTTTTATCTGTAATGAAGGCCAATAAACAAATGTCTTATTCTACTACAATATTCTTTTTATACTATATTAGAATATAATTTTGTATAAGGATACCTGTGATATCTGTGATAGAACAATATCTGATTCTTCTATAGTATTCAATCTTTTTAATAACTGTAAATTAGCGGATGTAGATTTAGTTGTTTTTGTATCATAATCTTCAAAAGCATTGGTATTGTAAGCTGCATCCAATGTTTCTAATAAGCTTGGTGTAACTTTTCTCAAAAATTTTGCCAATTTGTTATAATCAACGTTTGGTGTCTTTGCTTGTTCTTGTATAGTTTGAGTCTATCAAATATATTATATACATATGAACATATAGAATTAAATTGAGATAAATATACAATAATAAAGAAAGAAAAAGATTACCTCTGCATTTTTTTTCTCTACCGTTTGTGCTTGATTGGAAAAATATGTGATTTCTGTAGTTTGTACGTTAGCGGATACTTCTGGTCTAAAAGTAAACGAATTTACATAATTATATTATATAGTTAATAAAAATTATTGTCTTTCTATTGTTTTATCAATATCTAAAAATATTCTAACTTACTTAGCAACTGATACTTGTGATTCAAAGCCTACAGTATCAGATGATTCGTTTGTAAACATTATGTTTAAATAATCTAGTTAAAAATTGTATCGAATAAGAAATCTTTAAAAGAGAGAAAGAGAGAGAGAGAGAGAGATAATGATATATTTATAATATTTATTTAAACAAAACGTTTTACAATTAGTTCAAATAATTTTTATTTATATTTTGACAAAGAATAGGTAAAATTTGTTATTTTATTGTTTAATATTTTTATATGAATGACCAAAGAATATATAATAAATAGAATATTAGAAGTGCACTCTTGTAAAAAAATTTATCTTAGCACTGTGACCACCAGTGGGCGATAGTAGATAGGATGTTGTGGCTGCCCTGCTTGTCGAGTATCCATTTCCGCCGCTAGGCGCGTTCCGATCGAAACGATCAAGACGCCACCAGTGACAGATTTTTTATACTACAGTGCACTTTTAATGTTCTATGTTATTATATAGTCTTAGGAATGACTATTTATACAGACTATTTATAATAGGGTCCTAGTTTAATTAGATTATCGATAGAAAAAAATTAACCTACCAATGGTAAGGATGTTATTTTTAGGAATGTCGGTAACTTCTAATGTTTTGTGTAATATTCCTACATATATAAAGTATCTGATTTTATTGTATCAATTTCCTAGGGATGTTTTTTTATATATTGGACACAATATTATTCAATTTTCAATTTTTATATAATACAATTAGACTTAATCCTAGTAATTTCTTAAAACAAATCCTTTGGTCTTTATTTTATCATAATAAAATAAGGTAACGTTTTTAATCTCTTCAAATATTAAAAACGTTACCTTATTCATATCTCTTTTTTTTCCAAAACTTATTAAAGACTGAATAATCGTGTATATACAAATAGAAAAGAAAGAGACATCACTAAAGCAAAAAAAAAAAATAATAAGAATAATTATTTTAACGATAAAACATAGTATTATTCTTAGATGTCCTATAAATTATTTCATTTTCATTTTAGAAACCTATACTTTTAATTATTGTTTATGCAAACGCCTTCTTTACGGTCGCATATTAATCCTTCATTGCAAGGACACAATATATGATATACATCACTTATTTTCAACTGGGTATCATTCGGATAATGTAAAGTCATGTTGAGCAATTCGTTATTAGGTCGACAAGTTGCAGCTTCCTCTAACAAAGGACTACATTGAGGTATAGTGTATCTTCCTCCGCCTATAAAGTTAGAATGATTAAAAAGTATAGAGAACAATTATAAATTCAATTAAAATGAAATTATAACACACCTAGGACACAGCAATGGTCACTGGGACATTCCTTATTGTTATGACATTGAACATTAGCTGGTTCTTCTTGTTTGATGCTTGCAGCAAAAAGAAATGAGACTAGTCCCAATAAAAGAAGAAGAGTAAAACTCGTTGAAATTGTAGATGACATTATGTTATATGGTTATCTGTAAAAAGGGAAAAAAAAATATAAGATAAAACTAAAAAAGAAAATTATTACAAACGAGAAAAATGTGGAAAGACTTTTAAATTGCTTTATTTTAAAACTCTATCCGTTTATTCTTAGACATTTTTTTGGATGAATCATATAAACAGTTCGCTGCTAACGGGTCAACGAGTTTTCAGAATTCATTTTATATATCCTACGTTATTCGTTACGAATTAATAAAGTTTTACATTTAAGGAATTGATCTTTTCTTGTTGATTTTCAGATCTCGAGAAAGATAGAAACAAATTATAATGTGCATGGGATGATCTTACCAGTCTGGCGACTAATAAAATCTCTGGCATCATTCTCGATACCATATTAAGTCACCTGCATCGATGCTTTTACAATTTCCTTCTATTTGTTTTGTTATTTCTTTGTTTTGTTTTTTTAACTGAACTATATAACAGTAAAACTTAAAAGAAGCAGCATCATCATTTAGAAAAAGTTTCTATTAAATGATCAATTTATTTTGGATAAATTAAAACGTCGACAGAAAGAGAGAATAATTAGTTTGAAACGATGAATTATTCGAATCATTTGTTAATGGAATTGTAATAATGAAGAAAGAATGAAGAAGACAATTGAGTGAACGTGGAAAATCCAACATCTTGAACGGGGACGTGCTTTTCTTAGAAAAGAGATATCTCATCGAAAAAAATGCATAACTTTCAAATCTTACGTAAGCTAACTAACTAAGCCTACATCCGTACTATTCTGCACTTGACACATTCAAAGTCAGATTGCGAGAAAATGAAATATATTGAATTTAACAATTCAAACGAACAATAAAGAAATTAGAAGAATAATACCGTATACAAGAATTATGTAATAATTGCAAATGATATTATGAAAGATACTATACTAATTTGTTTACATAGGAACAAATGCAGATGGAATTATAATGCATCGGTTCGAAGAATTTCATAAACAGAGTCGAAATAAAATTTCCATAATGCAACCTTCACCTTGATGCAACTAATCTTAAATGCTAATAAGAATGATACAGACGTGTATGCTAATTTGTCAACGAATTACGTTACAACTTAGTCGTTTTGATAATTTAATAAACTGCATTTTACAAATAGAAAATTTCGAAGAAAAACAGTAAAGAAAAGATAAGAAAAATGACAAATATTTATAATCCAATGTCTAATACATTTTTTTTCAATAATATTTGATAATGTATTTCTTAATGAATTAACAAATGAAATTGTTCTAATACTTAAATCACCATAAACGCTCAAAGGGGATTCTTTTCTCGAAGGGCATTTCATGCAATGAATTCACAAAGGATCGATCGATCATAACAGTGAATGTTACTCATTCTCATCGATGATCTTGCTTGAGAAAATGAAAAAAAAAACGGAAATAAACCTTTACGAACCTGTTAACACGTCGTCCAAGCTCGGCTGAATACTGGTCGGCATGTGATCGAGCAACGATGATGAGAGTCTTGTTTTTATAGTGGTGGCTCTTCTTCCTCCGCTTCCTTCCTTCGACAAATGTTCAATCCAAAGATCCTCTGATGTATATACGTTTCTACCCGCACGTATACGCACACTAATTTACACGAATTCAACACACATACTTATCGGTTTATCCTATGATTAATCGAAATGCAATGCGGATTCTTCTTATTTTTCGTTCATGGACCAATTTTCTTGTTTCTTATTTTTCTTATTATTTTTCTCATCATTTCATTCAAGATAATTGAAAGTACGGTCTTTTGAAAATGTTTGAGGAAAATTTTCAACAAAATGATTACTATCTTTGATAATATATTATTCCTGTCGAACAAGACGCTATATATGTTTCATTTCATTTATTATCAAGATACTATCCTAACGAATCGTTCAAAAATAATATTACGACATTGATTCTTTGATATGCGTATTATTTAGTTAGATCGTATGATTTATCGATTTTTTTTGCATTTATGTAAGATATTTGTTTTTATATTATTCGAAAATTCAATATTAATCGTTCAATTAATTATATACATTAATTCACCTGTATACTTTAAACGTTTCGACATTCTTCGATTATTCTATTTTTAATATGCATTGTTTTTTTTTTCTTTTTTAATCTTTCTAGCACCATTTACAATCACTGCTTTATTACTATTAATATTTTCTCTTTTATTTGGCTGCGGGTATTACCGTTTGCGTAAATGGGTTCATGTTGACAATAAACATCTAAAGTATAATCATATTATATTTAAAAATGTTACATTTGTTCAATGTAATTTCATTAGAAAACAATTATAATATTTTGTATGAAAATGTATTAATTAATATAAGATTTAAAATTGTGCATTATAAATATTATTAATTTTAATTTTGTTATAAATTTTTTTCTCTAGTAATGTAGTTTCATTGTATCTTTCTTGATACAATTTGTGAATCGTAAAATCATTCTAAAAATAAATGTTTCGTTGAAAAAAAAAAAAAATGTGAAATTTAGGTGATCTATTTCAGTCTAGATCGAAGAAAAAAAAGTTCATATTTAAATTAGTTATCAACGGAGTATGATGTTTTATTAGATGTTTCTTACAGTACTGGACAGAGGTCACTACCGGCGTATGTACCGACGTTCTTTAATATGTTTTCTTTCTCTCTCTTTCTCTCCCATTTACTTATATGTAAATGAATAGGAAATAATTTGGAATAACCTAGAATATCGCAGGCAAAGAACCTAATGTGTACGGTACTATGTGTCTACCAGCATCTGACTATTTATAAAGTTAGCTAGTTGACCGCGTGTGCCATTTAGAATGGTGGATTATGCTTTACCAGATCTAAAACGAAGATAATTCAACATTGTGTCATTTAGAATTTACTTATATTTCGTTAAATGAAAACATTACTTAAACCATGAGACAATCATTTTTGTGAAATTTATAAATTAAGTATATTTAAGAATTATCATCATAAACATGGTAAATAGTTATGGTTACATTCACATATCCCATTTTATTTTTTTTATTTTTTTGCACTTTTAAATAAAAATTTACAAAGAAATAAAACTTATTATTATCTATTGTTGATCGTAAACAAATTATTTAAAATTAATCATAAATGATACGTATTGAATTAAAATATACTTTATGTTAATTCATAGGCTCTATTAGGTGCTCAACTTGTTATCACTCTTATTATGGTCAGCGTCATTCAAAAATTAAGTCCACATTTTTCATTAGCAAGATGGATGTTATGTTCCACCGGGTAAGTTAAGAAATAAATTGATATATTCTCAGAGCATTGATAACATTTGCATTTGCAGATTGGAGCGTTATTTGCATCCAACGGATCAACAACTTAGAATCCTTGCTGGTGTACCCAAAGAAAAACATAAAAAAGGTAAAAACGTAGAAAATGGAAAGGTGGGAGATGTATTTCATGTCCCTAGAAATTTGGATCTAACATTAGAAAGTTCTAAGATTACAGTACTAGACATAATTCAGTTAAAGTACTATACGGAATATCAATGGTTATTAGACTTTTCCATTTATGCTACTATCGTATACGCCATGACAGAGGTTTGTAATCATTCTTTGTATTATAATTATATTAGAAACAAATAGATATTCTCTTTATTAGTTGTTTTTTTTTTTTTTTTTACTTGACAGGTATATAATTATTTCTATCCGATTAAAGATGAAATCAATTTAAGCATGCTCTGGTGCACGTTGGGATTGGGTTTTGCATTGTATCCTTTTTCTATCTGAAACGATTACAAATCTTTATCAATATTACAAGCTTATTTTCTTTAAATAAATCATAGTAAGGTATTACTTTCACTTTGGATACGATATTTTAAAGGAGAAGAGAGCGTTGGTGAAAGATCTACTTGCATTGTTACCGGATTCTCATATCTTCTTATAGCTATGGTGGTGCTAATTGTAGATGAAAAAAATCTTGAGATTGGACTGGATAAAGCATATACAAGCTTTAATCACAGCGCATCCTTGTTTTTAGACAATCAAGGCCTTTCTTCTACGTAAGCCAGTAGTATTTGGATGCCCAGGGAGACACACATACCGCTTTTGCATAGTACTACTAAATTTAAAACAATTTTTTTAATTGCACATAATTGTAACTTCAAATGCTTGCACCTTTTCTAGTCCAATGATATGAATTATCTATTATTATTATTATCATTTTTATTAATATGCCAAGTAGAATTTGTATATTTCATTTTTAATAAATTTATATTTTAGGGGTCCTGCATCTAAAATCGTAGTTAAGTTCTTCCTTGCTTTGTGGTGTGGACTTCTTGGATCTCTTTTTACTTTTCCAGGCTTAAGAGCATCAAAAATGCATTGGGATGCATTAAAGTATAATAAAACATTATTTGAATATGTATCATAGTGTTTAGAATATATATAATATAGAATATAAATATTTTTTTTTTTCAGATATTATAAAAATAGAAAACTATTATTGCTAATAGCAAATATAAGTTATGCATCACCACTTCTGTTAACATGTCTATGGATTAAACCCATAAGCAGAGATTATCTTACTGTTCGAATTTTTACAGGAATGAATGGTCCACTGTATGTTTTCATTTTATAATAGATCAATAAAATCTGATAATTGTTATTAATTACGTTACATTTTTTTTTTAGAATGACTGCTGCAACTTTTGAAAGCATGAGATTAATCATTATTATTCTAGCACTTTTATTAAAAATGATTTTAATGCCAATGTATTTGCAATCCTATTTAAATTTGGCTATACAAAAGTTAGAAAATCAGAAAAAAGAAGCAGGAAGGATAACCAATGTTGAATTGCAAAAGAAGGTACATGCACACACATATAAATATAATTATTAGAATATACGTGGAAAATATATAAACATAGTATATTATTTTCAGATAGCAGCTGTATTTTATTACTTGTGCGTAGTAGCATTGCAGTTTATTGTTCCAATTATTATGTGTTTGTTCTTTACATTTATGTACAAGACTCTTGGTAAGATTATATAAATATATAATATTTTCTTAAGTAAAATTACTTTTTACTATTTGAAATTATTTTGATAGGTAATTATACATGGGAAGGTATTATTAAGGGTACGTTGGTTGAAGAATGTCCAGCTGACGAATCAAATAGAATTGTACAAAGTATCAGTGCAGAGATTAACGAAAAGACTGTAACGCAAACTGCTCAAGAAATTCAACATACATTTGGTTCATTAAAACAGGTAAAGCTTTTGTCATCAATGATATACATTGATATATAATAAATAAGATTGAATTATTGTTATTTTTATATATTTTCAGATATTCACTATCGATGTATATAGAGGTTTGTTAGGATTAGCAACATGGTGGACTTGTTTTTCATTGTTTGCTACGACAGCTATGGGAATGTTTTATCAGTCATACTTTTCAACCATGTAAAATCTCATCAAACAAATTAATGTCACAACGCACAAATTTGCATCGTTCCTCGCATTATACCCTCCATATTATTATTATTATTATTATTACAAAATACATTACATTTAAAATTATCTCATATCAATAAAGATACGTGTTTTTAGATTTGTACCTTCACTTTTGAGTGGGTATATATATTTACATACATAATATATTGATCGTAACGATTATTGTTTAACAATAAGATTTTATAACGATATTAGAGTAATAAGAATACGAAAATTGTAATACGAAAATGTAGGAAATATGTATGCTTCTCTTTCAGAATATTTACCAAAATAAATATACAACAAAAATGTTTATCTTGTATATACCTTCAAGAGAGAAATAGAAAGGGAGAGAGATACTTTATATGTAAATAAGTTATCATATATAAATGTAGACATATATATATATATATATATAATATAATAATTACATGTAAAATGTCTGAGATATTAGACCAAACTTAATATTCAAGAAACGATAGACCATAATTAATAGTCCGACGAGAAGGTAGACTCTATATTAGGTGGACGGAAAGTAACTTTCTTTACCAATTTCAATTTTCATTATAGATGACTCAAATATACGGTATATATATATAAATCTAGATATGAAAAAAATAATAATTATACATATTGTAAATATTTCTTTCTCTTTTTTTTTGACCATTATTATTATTATTACTGTTGTTGTTATTGTTATTGTTATTGTTATTATTAGTATTAGTATATAATTATAAATGATTTACAGATAAATGTAAAAACGAGACAATGAATTTTAATTTAGGAAAAATCATGTATCAATCAATTACGATTCACAACGATGATTCGATACCGATATCCAGGTGAAAGTATCCTTGTGTATTTGAAACTATATCATTGGGATTCTAATCACGTTTTATTTCGACCGCTTCCGTGGTATATAACTCCCCACGATACAACTTTTCATTGGAACATCGTCTGGATTTTTGTTACTGTCAAGATCAAGTGTCTTCCTTTAATTTTATTTTTCGATAACGCGATGTGGGTGAGTGACAATTATTATTCGTTAAGATTTTTAATAACGTTTGACAAAATTACGTTTCGTTGAAAGAAGAAATTTTGCATTTTAAAAACGAAAGAATAAAAAAGAAAAAAAAGATAATAAAGGAGAGAAAATAAAAAGAAAAAAAAAAGGAAGGCGGTCAAAGAGGTTCACCTTGGTGCGTGAAGAAAGGATTTGTTACGAAATATTCAATGTTTCTTGAAACGATGTAAAAGCAACTCATTGTTCAATTGACTATACCCTATCAACAATAGAAATCATTATGATAATCAGTAAACAATGAAAAAAGAATAGAAACGTACATGTACGCGATTCATCGAGTTACCTGTGTAGAAAGAATAATTCGAAAAAAAAAAAAACTACAGTTTATTTGCTTTGAAGCTTCTGACTTTTAATGTTACACCTTTTTTTTTTCTCCCTTAAATCTGTGTCATGGACGAAAAGTGGTTCGTGTTCGTAGAGATTATCCGGATTTTAGATTAATATTATATTATGTCCTTGTTTTATATAATATCATATGTATTAACTCATACTCATAGATACAACTTATCCGTTCATTATTAAATATTTTCTAATATATAAAAGAAATTTTTAAAACAATGAAACAATTTTTAATTAAAATAAGAATTCTTTATTTTGTTTTTCTACGAGTCTTTCTCTGTTGTAATGAATAAAAATAATGTATTCATTGGATTATCCTTTGTAATATTTTTCTTTTAGAAATATACGATACTCGGCAGCTTATTATGGAGTTTGGTAGCAACGGAAGCACCTGTGCAAGGTGGGATAAAACCTACGAACGTTTTGGGTGGATTGGAACAACACGCATCTTTTAGTTTCGTAAGACCAGGATTAACACAAACGTCATTTTCCTTCGGTGGTCCAAGTTCTCATCAATCTTTTAGTTCATCTATCGGAAATCCACAATTAGCTCAAAGAGTATTGCCAAGTTTGGCACAAGCTCTTTCTTATAGAAATCCTGGATTGGGTTCGTATTTGAATTATTTTTAAATACAAATTTAAAATTCTCTTTCACATACATAATTTATATACATGTCAAATGTTATACTCTTGTCTATCATTTGATTACACAAGAGACTTTAACGACTCCGCCCTAAATACATGTACAAGGATATTTTTATACGCACACACGTTCAAACTTTCTATATTGCATTTCAGGCTTTTTTCCTTTTGGACCCGTTCCTCATGGTTATGCAACTACATCGATAGCCCCAGGTCTCTCTGCCTCAGGCCCTTCACCTTTACCGTATCAAGCACAGTTTGATCAGGGCGCTACATTGGCGTATCTTCAACAATTGCAACAATTGCAACAATTGCAACAATTACAACAAGCACAGGCACAAAATTACCCAAATGCACTTTATCAAGGACAATTGGGACAGTATCTTGCTCTCAGGCAAGCTCAGACACAAGCACAAGCTCAAGCTCAAGCTCAAGCTCAGGCTCAAGCTCAGGCTCAAGCTCAGGCTCAAACACCACAGGTAATTCTTAGAAGAAATTCAAGAAGTTGACGATGATCATTTTCACCAATGATCTTTCTTAGCTCCCAGAGCAAATCCAACTTCAACAAGAGCATGCACAACAACGTCAACAGCAACATCAATCGCAAAACTTATTGGGGGTTGCTTATTCATCGGCACCCTCCGTAGCACATGTCAAGGTCAGCGGAAATGGATACAAGTTCGATTTTTAGAGAATATCATTCGGCATCATTTTTTGTATATACTCAGTAAACTAATGTTTGAAGTATCACATTTTATTTAGTATTATTCATGTATTTATTTATGAATGTATATGTATTTTATTTAGTTATATTAAATATTATAAAGTAGTAAAAAAAAAAATCGTATTTTCCTTGTCCTTTTGCAATATTCACTTTCACTTTATATAAAAATTTCAAACTATTATTAAAATGTAAATGAACGAACAGGAGAACTCGTTTCAAGATGGATTCGAGATTACTAAATGGTTTGAATTAAATATGTCAGCGAAAATCCTAACAATATTGGCTATGATTTTTGGTTATATAAAATTTAATTTCTTTGCTTGTATTCATGATTTAAAACTTTCTATGTTCTATTTTATAAAAATCTTGATCGTACCTTTGTTATATAGATCACGAAATTGAACGCAGGTGTGTGGACGTTACACATCAGGCTTGTTACATATGTGACAAGGCTTATGTCAGTGTCAGAATTGGGAGAAAGTGTTGTCCTTGGGAGGTTCTACAATATCATATGCGGCTAAAATGTATCAGGTTACATAAAATGATATCACTTTATTTTTGCGATGTTGAGAATTATTTATAACAGCGATAAATTAATAATAACGCATAAGAATTAATAAATTATATTAATATGATCTAATATTTTCTGAATGAATAGTATGTTTCAAATTACAAATAGAAGCTTATCATGCTTTTTTTTTTAATTTAAAAAATAAGGGTAGAAAAAATAAATAATCAAACTTAATTATTTGATTTTGATTATCAATAAAATTGAGACTATAAACATTTGAGTAAAATTATTATAGAGAATATAAATAAGAAACACAAGAATTACCATAAAATAAATTCGAGAGTAAATTCTACGACCTGCCTTAATGACCTCGACTGTACCAAACGGGCCGATCTTAATTTCGGCAAGAAGTGAGGACCACGCCCGGAATTTGTTTCTGTCCCCTCTTAATCGACTATCCTTCTCGTTCTTACTTTCTATCTCCCTTTCTTAGTAATTTCTGACAAGGAAATCCGCGTGTATTTCCCTCTCCCTCGATCTTTCATGTCCAATCGTATTGAACAATAGGGTGCCCAAAATTCGATCGACTCCCTTACGATCTCGGAGGCATATAAATACTGGGCCGATCGTTTCGTTCCAGCAGAATACAAGTAGCTCTCCTACTAAAGAAAACCAAGAAAAATGGCATTCAAGGTGAGTATAACGTATCCGTCAAAAAGACTGGTAAACGGATTTATTACATTATATTGTAAGAAACTTTATATATATCCTAGAAATTGAAGTATGACTATGTATGTGAAAGAGCAATCTCTAATAAACAATCTAGTATATAATATTTTAAACTCGAGAAAAAGATATTAATAATAAAATAATATGTTTTGCAGTTATTCGTCCTCTCGGCTCTCTTGGCGATAGCCCATGCTGGCGGACCGGCCGCATACGACATTGCCACAGCATCTGCCGATCTCAGCAGCGTAGGTTACAGCCAAGAGTCCACGCAGAAGGGTTATGCAGGACAAAACGTCGTGTCGAGTTATTCGAGAGCCGAAGATACCGCTCATTCTTCAGTGCGCGTCAGCAACAGCCACGTTACCAACGATGCTTTGACTTATGCAGCACCAGCAGCAGTGATCGCTAAACCAGCTTACACTGCAGCTACCTATGCTGCTCCTGTAGTAGCCAAAGCCGCACTTGCACCAGCAACTTATACAGCTTACGCTACACACGCTGCCCCAGTATTGGCTAAGACAGCTTATGCTGCTGCTCCAGCCTACAGTTACGCTGCACATGCTGCTGCTCCAGCCTACAGTTACGCTGCACATGCTGTTGGACCAGCCTACGGTTACGCTACACACGCTGCTCCAGTCCTGGCTAAGACAGCTTATGCTGCTGCTCCAGCTTACGGATATGCTGCCCAAGCTACACCAGTATTGGCTTCCCAACTCCACGCAGCAGCTCCAGTCTACAGCTATGCCGCTCAATCTGCCCCAGTCGTCACTAAAACCGCCTATGGCACCTCTGCCTACGGATATGCTTCACCACTCGTAACCAAGACTACCTACGCAGCTGCTCCTCTTGTTACCAAAGCAGCTGTAGCTACCCCAGCTGTAGTCACCAAAACTGCATATGCCGCCCCAGCTTACGCAGCAACCACCTATGGATATGCAGCACAAGCTACTCCAGTTCTTGCCAAGACTACTTACTCTGCTCCTATTGCTCACGTCGCTGCAACCCCTGTTATCGCTAAAACAGCACATGTTGGACCTGCCTACGGTTATGCCGCGGAATACGCTGCTCCCGTCGTACACGCCACTTTCACTGGATTAGGCACTAGCTATGCATGGTAAATCGTGATAAACTCGACATCCTTCGACCCTGGCGACTTTTCTTATTAGTTTTTTTTTTTTACATTGTGTATTTCCTCTTTCCTTCACACATCATTACCGTGTAGACCTGAAAAATACTCCATTTTTAGAACACTGTGTTACTCGGAATAAGGCTAATTGATAATGAGAGATGATATTGGTTTTAAGCGTTCAATTGATATGTAAATACTTCTTTGTTAGATCTCTCTCGTTCGTTCTACGTTTTTCGTCTTTTCTATTTTCAAATTTACCGTATTATTGTAATCGACTAAAAGTTGTTATCGTACAGTAATGTCAACGTTGTTAACGAATGCGTACCAAATCTTTAGTAGGAGTAGTGCATAAGTATTTATATTTATGTTACCCTGAATGCTATGATTTTTCCGTGTTTTCACCATTCAATTTGATTTGATACAAATATATTTACTTATTTGATAGTGAATGAGAATTATTTTTTCAACATACTTATCCCCATAATATTAGAAATCTTTACAACGATAATATATGAATTTTATTCTTTTGGAATATTCGAATTTTTTTCGAAAAAAAGAATGAAAAAAAAGTTGGAACAAAATTATATAAATTTAAATATTACGCCTGATGATAGGCAACTTTTTATACTTTTGTGTATATCATCTATTACCAAGAAATTTTTCTCATATGATAACTTACATTAGTAACTCTTCTTTATCGACACATAAAATGTGTTGAATGTTACGTTCTTAGCTGTGAAAAAAATACACGTGCCATCGCGTGTTGTTATATTTATTTATTAACAATATATTTCGTTATTAAAAAATGACGAAAATAAGAAAAGTAAAGCGTAAGAAGAAGTATCGTGTGAATGTAAATCGAAAGAGACTACGAAACAAGTTAAAAAAGCTACCTACGATTGAATGGTAAACATAACCTATTCATATTATTCATTATTACATATTATGTTCTTATTTATTACTTTTTAATAACAAAATAATTTTATATAGCAAGAATATAAAAGAAGAATGGGAGATTACTAAATCAACACGTAGCAATCTAAAAGAAATGGGTTTAGTATATGATCCAAATAAGAATTTAAAAATTCCTAATATAAAACAAGATTTACTGCAACAAGTTAAAGAAAAATTTATGGAAAATGGTATGGAAGTTGATAGCGATGATGAGAATGAAGATATAAAAAAAACACCAGCTAAAATTCATGTCGCACAAGCTTTAGAAAGAGATGCAAAAGCACCTAGAGAAAGAAGGTTTCGTTTACCAAATGGTCAAGTAGAGTTTATCACTTATTTATTAGACAAATATGGAGAAGATTATAAGGTATGTATTACATCATTGAAAAAGTCTTATTTTTACAAATTCTTTTGTCTACAAAATATAAAATAAAAATTTGTTTATCTAGGCTATGGCACGCGACAAGAAGAATTACAATCAGTTAACTTGGAAACAGATTCGTGCTAAAATAAAAACTTTTAAAGGCATACCAGAACAATATAATGAATATTTATCTAAGAAAATTGCAACTTAACATTGATTATAACAAATGTAGAATCAAGTTAATTACTATAAAATACTGTATTTTGTATAAAAATTTCTCTCTCTCTCTCTCTCTCTCTTTCTATATATATATATATATATTATACGTGATTAGGAATTCATTTTTATAATACATTTACATTTTAATATTTTACTTAATAAAGATTGAAAACAAAAAATAGAGGAATGGTATATAATATAAATAATATATATATATTACAAAAATGAATATATTCAATCACAGCAACGTTATGGCAATACCGTTATATATATAACATAAAACATTGCATTATAAACACAAAATTTAACTGATATTAAGCATTTTGCAGTCTTTTTTTTATATCATAAATATACATATATATATATATATTTTTTTTTGTTTCCTCTACTATACTATTTGTTTTTGTTTATATAGATTAATTGTGCAAACTTTGAATAAATGAAATAAATAAATTAAAAAATGCCAATTTCTTAATTAACCAATCATAGAACAAAATTTTGTAGTAACAGTCCTTACAGACTTATGATACGAGGTACATTCTATGGAGCTTGATAGAAGATCAGGTACAGGCCTCGTTTGGCATCCGATAACTTCTACCTTATGTTTATGTGGAGAAATACTTTCCACATCTAAAGCTTCTTTTACTTTATGTGGTGTAAGTGCATTAGGAGCATCCTGTAAATAATATGTAACAAAGTATTTTCTATAGAAAATATTATACATTTTTCTAAAATACAGATAAATATAATTATTTCAAACTTGAACACACTGTTTACCTGTTTATTGGCAACAACTAATATTGGTACAGTATCTATTCGTGAATCTCCTAATAATTGTTTGAACGTTGAAACAGCTAAAGATAATTTACTCGTATCAGAAGCATCTACCATAAATATCAAAAGATCGGTGTCTTGTAAAAAGTTTGACCAATACTTCCTATTGTTTTCTGCACCTCCAACTGTATATCATTATTTAATATAAGATAACTAATATAATGACATATAATTCTTAACGTTCTTTTAAAAGTGAAAATAGAATCTATCGTTTTAATGTTCTTACTTTCCCAAACATTATATGTAAAAGATCCAAATTTGATTCTATATACAGTAAAACCTTGAGTAGGTTGAGGTGGAATTCTATACGGTTGTTTATCGCCATAGATGATGCATGCTTGATTCATTAAAGACGTTTTACCTGCTCCGTCTAAACCAAGTAAAAGTATCCTCTTTTCATAATTGTCATCGATCTGCAATTAAGAGATCTTTTTTAATGTATTCAAATGTATCATTAACTTTTACACCATTATTGTATGTGTATGTGTATATGTTTGTGACATTAGAAAGCCGTACTGTAGAGGTTATCTTTCACAATAGATTCAACTTGTCGATTAACTTTCAACAAATCACTGTTACATATCTATTGAAAACAAATCATTCTGTCAAAGATAAAATAAAAATTTATACACGTATACATATATATATACATATGAGCAATTAGATTAATTAATGATATATATATATATATATGTATATAGATATCAATTTTATTTATATACATTAGCATGATCGTTTAAAGGATACGAAATAACGTTCGACAGTTAGGAAATAAAAATCTATTTTGAAAATAAAGGAAACATTAAAGGAACCTTAGTAACTTCGTCGAAACCTTCATCGATTGACTTCAATTCTCTTTTTTTCCAATATCGATAAGCAACGTATGCTCCAATACACGCACAACCAGCCAAGAATATCGTTTTACGTCCATTAGAAAACATAGTATTTATTTAATGATTCTTCCTTTCTTTCAGAATAAATACACAGCAGACACGTTTTTCATTTATTCTCTATTACATATCAGCATGTCAACGCGCGCAAACTCTCTTTCGACCTTCGACATGTATTTCACGCTTTCTGTCATGCTGTGAACTACACGAGCGCGCGAATCATCCTTACGAAATGTGTTCGCAAAACTATGTACCTTAAACCTTCCCCCTTATCCCAACATATTAGTTATATTATTTTAATTTGTATTTTTACAATAAGTGTGAAAGTTACGATTTGATTAAAATAAAAACAATTATTTTAATAAAGAAACATTAATCAGAAAATGTATATGCTTTAATTTTTTTTTTTTTCTTTAGATTTATCTTTGATCCTTTTTCTTTATTTTGATTATCTTCTACTACCAGAATCAAAACAAACAAATATTTCTCTTTTTACGATTACGCGTTTATTTTCATTTTATTTCATATTATACTACTTTTATTCGTATGCTTTTATAGGTACACAATTTTTTTTTTTTTAACGACTCGAGTAAAAAAGACATTTGTTATTTTCTTTACGTTTAAAGAGATTAAAATTTGATATGAAAATGGCGCGAATTAAATTAACCAATCATGTTGTTTTAATTTTAATCATTTCGTATAGTAGAAATATGTTTAAATTGTTATAAATGTTTTTTGTACTGTTATTATATTTATTTGAATATTTGAAACAATGTTACATGTAACCCTTTACCTACGAAATTTTATTGATTTAGAATCTTAAATAAAGTTAAAAATGTTTTACGTTTAATGATCACAAGTTTGAAATTTAATCAAAACAAAAATGATTGAGACTGTAAAAGTTGATTTACTCCTATAATTATGAAAGTATAATAAATGATCATAAAGAAGATAACCGATCAAGGTCAATTTTAAGAAATTTATTCAATGATACTCGTTATCTTGCCATCTTCATTCATACGAACAAAGAAGCTCGTTATTTCTCGTAGAGAAATGTTTTAATAATCCACTTGATATATATATATATATATAAAGAACTGTAACGTTTGATACAAGTAACCAAAAAAGGATTAAACGCATAAATCCGATTTTACGTTTAATCCTTTCGGCTAAGGGCTTTGATTCCGGAGGTGAAGGCTTTAATGTTTTCAAAGGGACTATTAATTGGCACAAATGTACGATATAAACTAGTAGATTTCATTTCACTTGGGTCCTTATAAATCGTATAAAGGTTTAACTTTTCAAAAGTTATAATAGCATAAAGCGATTTTATTCGTATAAATATTTGCCGATTGTTTTCTAATCTAGTAGAATATAGGATACATATATAGTCGGCCATTTTGATTTCACTTTATCGAAGTTAATAATAATTATTTGGAGTAATAGATTGTTGTCAGCGCGTGTTGTGTATTGTAACGTTATCGAGAACACTTCCAAATTCCGTTTCGTTGGATGTGAGCTGCATTCAATGGTCTCTAATCCGTCTAATCTGTCCCGAAATGAAATAGTTGCGATTCTTTCAACGGGCACCCTTCGCTCGGTTGCACACAGCGTCGCATTTAAGTGGGAGAAAACACTTGACCCACGAGGACGAAGGGGGAAGGAAAAGTGGTGGTGGGTGGGGGAAGGGGGAGTTTGTTAGAGAGATCGAAGAGAAGAGGAGGAGATGTATAGGTCGTCGAGTGGTTTACAAGAGGGGAAATGATATTTAGGGAGAAGATGACTATCGGAGACACGAGATCATCGTCCCTTTAACTGGCCACGTTGACATATTTCTCATCCCTCTTTAAGTTTAGACAAGTATTATTCGCATAAGCGTAACCAATAATATCTAACGATAAATTATCATTTTCTTCTTTATTATCTTACACGATGGTACAACATATTTTTTTATACGTTTCAGAATTTAATTACAAAAATAAGCTGATCGAGAGATATATGAAAAAAAGGGACATTGTGTGAAAATATGTATACTTTTACGAGGATGTACACATTTTTTTTTTTTTTATTATCTTTTAACTTCGAAAATGTTTCTTTTCTATGATCTCCATAGTTTTATATTACGTCTATAACAATACGGCGTGCACATATTTTAATAACATTATTCACTGGGGGATGGAACAAAAAAAAATACTACAAATAAGAGAAAGAAAATTCTAAAAAAAAAAAAAAAAGGAAAGGTAATCGTAATATCTCTGTTGCGATCGTACGTGAAAAGACAATATAAAAGGGTGAAATCTGATGTATCAGAGTTGCGAGATTGAATTCGACGTATGGTTTTTTATTTACATACGTACATACGATCGCACATATTCGAACGCGTTCGAACGCGAATTTCATAGGAACGAAGCTAGTAGTAATAGTATTAGTGATAGTAATAGTAGTAGTAGTAGTAGTAGTGGTAGGAACCTGCTACGCTGTTGCAAAGCGTGACGAATAAACGGTTCTCTCTCTCTTTCTCTTTTCTTTTTTGATTCACCTACGAGCCCGAGCCTCTACGAGAGCTCTCGATTCTACGGGGTACCACCCTAGGGACCAGGCCTGGGTGCCACTGACAGAAGCAAGCACGGGGTGGTTGGTAGTGATACAAGGGGTGGAAGTGGAGAAAGGGGTGCCTGACTTTTATTACCCCGTCTGATGTTATGAATGCGAACCGAACGAAACAGCCCTGGGATGCAGCGCGACAGCCCCTACCCCCTCTTTCTCTCTCTCTCTCTCTCACTCTTTCTCTCTTTTTCTTTTTTTCTCTCTCTTCTTTTTATCTTTTTCTCTCTTCGTAGCCACCCTCCAAGCGGTTATGCTTTTTATCGCGATGTATATCGTTGTCGCGATTAACGACGGTTATGAGCGTGCCGATGTAATCGAGATCACGCTCGATCATTCTCTTTTGACGTACCATGATTCCTTTTTTTTTCTTCTTTTTTTTTTCTTCTCGTTATATTCTTTGCAGGTGGATGCAACCGATGATGGGGAGTGGTAATGATATATTATTTGTGTGTGTAGTTTTTTTTTAATCGTTAATATATTATTGCTCGTAATTATGAAAGTGTAGTGTAATGTAAGTAAGACAAAATTAAAAATATATTTATTAATTATTTCACATCAAATTATATCTTGATATAATATAAATTAACTCAATGTAATATTTATGTAAAAAAATGAATCGTTAGATGGTATACTTGTTATTTCAATATTATATGGAATTCATTTACTAGTGTTTAAACAAAAGGTGTATGATAAGACATTTATAATTATAGGTACATCTATGATAAGAAATAAAAAGTTTTCATCATGTCTATTGTGATGTTTGTTATTTATTAAGTTAAATATTTGATTGATTGATTTGGATTTTCTCATAATAATAATAATAATAATAATAATAATAATAATAATAATAATAATAATAATAATAATAATAATAATAATAATAATAGTTATTATTTCAATATTATTTATCTCCTTTGGCAAAAGATATTACTCAAGAGACGACATCATTTCTTTAGGGTGATATCCAATAGAAGACGTTCGTTTATAGTAGTACTTTTTAATAATCGTTTGATGAAAGAGAAATATTTTGCGTACTCGTCTTTCTACCCTTTTATACGAAACGAATAATATCGTTGGAATGATATTACCCTGCCGAAGCGGACTCGACATCGACAATTTCACTCGTTATCTCTCTACTTTGAGAGAATAATAGCTTGGGAAACTGCGAGTAAGAGAAGAGAGAGAGAGATAGAGAGAGAGAGAGGATCGACTATAACGAGAGGTTATTCTTTTAAATTACGAAGAAACGTGTTAGAGCGTTTATCTTTATACAAGTATTGTACAGTTTTCTGTCCACAACACTTGAGATTATTTATATTTCTTTTTATTTCCTAAAAAATAAATATTTATTTTTCATTACTAACAAATACTTATTTAAATATTATGTCTACCAGCAAATTTTGTCGGTTCAAACAAACATTAGTTCAATTTTTCGTCACTAAGGGTAAGGCCCCATTTCTTAAAATGGAATATACAAATTGTCACCATATTGGCAAGAGTTCAAAAGTAATTCAATTAATTAATTGTTCAAATTATGAATAATTTATTATTTTATTTTATTTTATTTTAAAAATAGACAGAATTTTCTAGTAGACCTAATATATATATATATATATATATATATATATATAGATAGATATATATATTTCAAATTAGATTATGAAAAGGAAACATATTGGTATAATTATAACAATAAGATAAAGATATGTGTACGTATATGTTTGTGAATTTGGAAATGATAGTGTGTCGTGCATGTATAGAACAAACCATGCCTTTCCAAAGCGTCTCCGTTTCATATGGATCTAACGGAGCGATCGAGGGGAAGCTACTGGCATATTTCAAGCGAAGGAATGCTCTTTGATCATGCCCACAAAGTTACACCATGTATTATCGTTCTACGCACGTTATTTCGAACGTTTCCTCTCTTCTTTCATCCTACCCCTTGATATTAATAATCCTTTGTGTTACAGCAAGTTATTTTATTGCGACTGGAATTCACCGTCCTTCCTTTCGTCATACGTATATATCTATATATATATATACACACATATGTACATATATATATTTATATATAGTATGTAAGAGAAAACAAAGAGAGATAGAAATTGATTATTATTAACTTCAAGTCATTTTATTTATATTTTTGATGATAAGAACCAAAAGAACTATTTATAAAATGCAACATAAACATGTCATATATTATTTATTATTTGTATTTGTGTTTATAGATAAGATTCTTTTCGATTAGATATACTCGAGGATAGATCTATAATAGGACAATGAAAAAAATAAGGTTTTGTCTTGTTTGTTTTTTGCACGAATTAGATTCTTATCGTTGAATTTTAATTTCGAATCGAATAGTTTGAACGCGACTATTCTTAGTCGAGAGGATCGAAAAAACGAATCGCGGATTTATGGAAATCGGGCGGGGCATATATATATACATACGTTGATATCGTGTACATGTGTGTAAGAGAAAGAGAATGGAGAGAGAGAGAGAGAGAGAGAAAGAAGAGGAAAGAAGAGAAAGAGTGAAGCGTAGGAATGGCGGTCGAGAGTCGTCCAAGCATACACGTAAAATACATACCATATATCTATATATGCTACACCGGGAATTTTAATATTCGCGAATGATAAACAAAGTGGGTATCTAACGAAGTGGATAGAGGCACAGCGTAATAAAATTTGTGTTTGCGTTTCATCGTGGTCGAGTCGAGGGAAACGTCACGAGCGGTTTCCTCCGATTTCAATTACCCTCAACGACGGAAATATATGGGCGTTCGTTTCAGTAAACGAAAAAAAAAAAAGAGATAAAAATATATATATATATAAACGACGACTATGACGACGATGATGACGACTAACAGCAACAACAACAAGAAAGTAAAGGAAAACGCAAAGAGGACCTTTGCAATTTCAATTTGTCATATAAGCTTATAACTCCTTATCGTTTTCGATATATATATATATATAGTATATATACGTATACCTATTTATCTATCTTTCGAAAGGTATTTAATCCTTAATTAAAATCTTACTTTAATGTTTCGTACGAAAATGTATATATACATATATTCATTCAATTACGCGTATAATATATATATATATGAGATTGTGTGTGTGGTTTTGTTTTAATCGTTAATATATTATTGTCTATAATTATTATTTTAATAATAGTACAGGTATATAGTTATAAATATAAATAGTAGTATATAGTAATAATATAAATTTAATAAAATAGTATATTTTAATTAATAGATATAGATAATTATATATCCCATATATACATCGACATATATATGCTTGAAGAATTATCTATGATAACTCGTCAGATTTAAAGTTTCAAAAATGTGAATTTTATTTCGAATTGATCATAATTAAACAAAAAAAAAAATGTTAGAAAATTAAATTTCGTTTTTTTTTCGTTTTTTTTTTTTTTTTCAATGAATTGTATGAAACTAATATATATATATATTTATTTTAAAGGTTTAATGCGGTGCAGTAATTAACAAAGATACCCAGAGAATGGCATCTCCTTTGACGCATTTCTCGAATTTCGGAAATTCAACGGATTTCAGGTAATGCTCTGTTAAATTTACCGATAGTTAAATATATCTCAATCTGAATATTATTATAAATTGACAATTTAAATATAATCAAGTTTAACGATATTTATTATTAAATCTAAAAAAGTATCATTAGTCGGATAATTTATGAATTACATAAACTAAATCAAAAAAATAATAATTTTAAAAGTTCAATCATGGAAAAGAAATTCAAATTCAAATTCAAATCCTTTAAAAGCTGATTTTAAAAAGGGACAATTTTTCAAAAGTCACAGAAAATGATGAGATAATTAACCCTTTCAACATAATACCTAATTCAAACGTGGTTAGATTCGAAAAATCTCTTCTTTGATGAAAGTATTACGAAGATGTAGTAGTAGTAGTAGTAGTGGTGGTTGTACAGGAGAACGGATTTGCGATAAAAACCGCGTTTTAATTTGTCCCTTCTCTCTTTCTCTTTATTTCCCAGTTTCTCTTAACTCGAGCCAAACGGGTACTTTTTTCTCCTACCCCCATGGCCTGCTTGCTTGCTGCTGCTGCTAGTTACGAATAAAGGAAGAAGAAAGAAAGAAAGAAATAAAGAAAGAAAGAAAAAATAAAATCATTGCGTTGTGTAGGCAAAGGATGAAGAATACGAGATGTTAGAAGAGGTGAGTGAAAAAGAGGGTTGGAATAGAGAAGAGGAGTGGTTAAACGGATGCGAAAAGGTAGAAAGAGAGAGAAAGAGGGATGAGAGGGGGTGGGAAAGGATAGAAAGGAAAGGGACGTAGAGATAGAGAGGAGGATAAAGCGGCTGCTTCTGCTGCTGCTGGTCCAGAGAGTGAGATGAAAAGATATATATATATATATATATATATATATACAGAGATAGAGATAGAGTTTTGCGGGGTGGTGGTGGGGTGAGGGTTGAGACCCCACAAAGGCAGTGGGGCTCTTTTGATTCGCGAGCTAATTGGAATGCCGCGGATGCCAACGACGATAGAGCAGGGGCTGGGATAACGTGCAGAGAGGGGTGGAGAAGAGGATAAAGAGCAAGAGGGGGTGCTCCAAGTCTCGATGTAACGCAGGATACGATAGGCGGAGCTTACATCCCCCATACACAAGCTGATTCTACATCGCGATATCGAGGGGGGCTCATCGGCTTCTCGACTTTTTTCTTTTATCTATTCGGTTTACTATAAGAATGATCTTTTACCTGGGAACCTATGATCTCATTCGTTCATTCGTTCTTTCGTTTGTACGTTCATACGTTCGTTCATTCATTTGTTCGTTAGTTTAAAAGGTGTTTTCGTTTCTTTTTTCGATTATTTTTAAATTTCTTACGTGTACTGTCATTTTGTGCTGTAATTAATTGAAAATTATTTATAATATAACGCATGACTGTTAAATGCTGTAGCAGAGATTATTTTAAATGTTATATAATCGAGTTAATGTTAAACAGTTATAATCCCGATCGTTATTATATTTTACTGGTTCCCACAGAGCTCTAAGTAGTTAATTAAGTTAATTACATCAATGCTATTAAGGTGAAAGTAGTTACGCTAATTATCATGATTTGTGATTCGTTCGAAATTATACGGCGAATAGAGGTTTCTACTCATTTTCGATCGATTATTTTTTATTACGATACTATGTGGAATGGCATGATGATAGTCAACATCATCCGTGCGACACTTCTCTCACAGGAACGTTTTCTTTGTAATCCTTTGACACGGGTCGAGGGCTAATTTATCACGGTGACAAAAGGGATAGGAAGAGAGTAACGAGCGAATATCAGTTACCGTCACCACCCCATACGGCATGACTTTCCTATATCACTATCCAAGTGCATACCTATATATATATATATATATATATATGTGAAATCCTTCCAACGTAATTTTAAATTGATTAGGGGTTTTCTTTTTCTTTTCCTTGTTCTTTTTCTTATTATTTTTTTTTTTTTTTTTTAAATCGAAGTTCTACGCACGTTCGTATTTATTTGGAAATTTTAGAAAAAGAAAAAAAGTCAATGTTAATTTATCATTCGACCTATTACGAGGACGTTTATTCTTTTGTTGGATTGCTGATTCCACTTAATTTGCTGATCCGTTAATTGATTTCTCTACGTTTCGAATGAAATTACAATTTTGACCCATCTCGTCCAACCCAATCTCCCTCGTCCCCTGCCACCACCTTCCCACCACCCCCTCCTTCCCTCGCCTGGCAATAAATATTATCCTCTTTCGACGGACGAATAATAATAAAGGTATCGAGTTTAATTGGACAAAGCGTAACCCTCCATTTTCAGAAAGGCAACGGAGTTTCATCGTGTTATTAATATTTTAAACAAAAGCTCGGCTCGTTGCTTTTACCTTTGCTATGCCGAACGAGCTTCGTTTGGTCGTAAATTTAAATCGTCGACGGGACAGGGAGGGGGTGGATGGGGGTGGGTTGAAACAGAGGTAAAAGGAATTAGTCGATGTTATGCCAAGTAGAATGAAGTGATAGATTAGCAAAAAAAATGAAATTTGTCGAGTGAGATAGATGATGGATAAGTGGAAAAGTTAGGTCCCATTTTGAATGTATAGATTCAAGAGTTTATTCTCTGCAACATGTACGCGCGTATGGATGTAAATTACGTGTATAATTTATATATATAATGTCGTCGTCACGTATTTACAAATTGCAATTTTCAATGCCAATAGAAATACGCGTACACTTTTTACGGTGGTACGTTTATTTCTTTTTTTTTTTTTTTTGGTGATTTTTGTTTGACATTAAAAGTACATATTTTTCGAGAAGTTCAACTCCTAGTGTCTCTTCTTAAACCTATTATCACTATATGTACACATCGTGCTAATAATTTGATGTCATTCTTAGAGAAATTCTATTATCACGTAACACACTCATTATTAACACACACCTACACGTTTCGAAGACATTTACAAAAATATATATTACACAATCGGTCGGAGGGAAATCATTGTGGAATGCGCGAATAATCTCATGACTCTTAATACGATTATTTTGAATGACATTTTTTCTTTTTATTTTAATCTTTCTCAAAAGATTTTTCGTATTTGGTTTCCTTTTTTTATTTCTTTATACGTAATACGAAGTTCATTCGGTTTTCTTATTCGATTTTTCACAAAAAATGAATCACGTTAACACTGATACGAATAATTTTGGTTTTTTTTTTTTTTATTTAAAAAGTTTTGTTTTTTTTTTCTTCCCTGGATAATACACACTCGCCCAAAAACACGAAACGTCTTTGAAAACTTTGGATCGACGTTTCATTTCAAATTCCCCCTCGATCATTGGACACAACCTTAAAAAGTAGGCTGTTGTTGTTGAGTACCATAACGAGAGAACGATCTGGTTGGCCCACGCGTCGTTGTTTGCGTAGAATGTCTCGTCTTATCGTGAACGGTGTTAGCAGAAGAAGTAGGGTCTCTTGAATATCTGTTGTTTATATAATCATTTGGAATTTCTTCGTTTATCGGAAAATCTTCTGATACTTCAGAAATTCCTTTAGAGCCCTTAGATCGTCGTGGTTTTAATGTTTGCAAAGTTGATCTTGCTGATCTGTAAGATCCTTCGATATCCTCGTAATTATGTTTGTTGATGTTGCAACGACCGCATAAAATTTTTTCAACTGCATCCATATCGTCGCCTGTCATGCGTGAAAACAATATACATATATAATAATAACAATAAATTAATATACTTTAATTTCACTTACGTTTTTAATTTCATATTCCATTTATATTTTTATTTTTGTTCTTATTTTGTTTGAAATGAATATTATTTTAAATGGCATTAGAATTAATTACCGAAAGATTCTTTCACGATATAATCAGGATACTCTTGAAATCTGCAAACGTTCTTCTTAGTTTTCGTTGATAATCTGCTACCAGAAGGTGCACCACATCTTATACATTTTTTAGTATTTTTATTTTCCGAATGTAATAAATCTTCAACATCTTTTTTAGGCTGAGATCGACGAATCGATTGATTCAAAGAAGGATTGGTATCGTATCGATCGGACGAACTTCTAAATGGTGTTGTCCAATGTTGTTGATGGTTCATTCTCGACCGTCTAATTGAACTTTTTGGTGGTGTTGGTGGTCGTACGGGTTCCTCGTAGGTATAAAGTTCTATTTCATCTTGATCATCGAGATCGTTATAGTATCTGCTTGAATAATAAAATATAATTTTGTAACCAAATTATTATTTTATTATATTTGATAATATTTTTGAATGCAATTTGACGAACCTTATTCTTGGATGACTGTCATACGAGTTTTGTACGTATTGTTGATAACGAAGTTTACGTGGGTCAAATTGTTGTTGTTTAATTATTCTTGATCTTTGTTGTTCTTGTGATATTCCATCTTTTTTAGGTCGTCTTTGCCATTTTTGTGATATCAAGACAGTTGAATCGGATTCTTCGTCAATTTCATCGTCAGCTTCGTGTTCCTCGTAATCCTTATCGACGGATTCAGCAGCTGTTTCTTCTTGATCATCCTCAACTACAGATATTATAGTACTTTGTTGATTTGAAAACAAACTTATTTAGAGATTATAAAATTTGTAATTGTCGAATACACGTATTACCTTCTTCAATTGTATCCTCCTCGACATTATCTTCAGTTAAGTTTCCCAATTCCTCATCAGCAGCATATCTGACGTTTTCATCGTCATCCTCCAAATCGTTTTTCTTATAAATAGATTTTCTCACGATTGCAATATTATTGTTTGTCGCGTAAAGTTTGTTTCGAGGTGTTGTTCTAGGATGATTGTGAGTAGTCCATCTATGTGGTTCTATATTTTGAAACGTCGTGTATTTTGTGTGGGTTGGCGATTCATAATTGTTATGTTTATTTTGTTTGTAAGAATTCATAGAGGAATAATAACTTGTTATTGGTTCAGCCGTCGCATTGAGTTGTTTTCTAAAGAAACAGAATGATTTTTCTAATAATAATTCTTTACACACGAATGGATATTTCTCGTATATTTTGTTTTGTTTTGTTTAATATCAATTAAGATATATTATACTACATAAAAAATATTATCATTAATTAGAGTACTTAATTACGTTGGTAAATATTTGAATATGCTTACCTATTATTTTTGTTCGATGGAACAGATAAATTATGTTTGTTAACATATTTCCAATTGGCATTCGAAGAATCTCTGACATTTGTTGTTTGATATTTTGCGGACCACGAAGGTGTAGGTCCATTCGTGTATTTTTGTGTTTTATTTTTCTCAGTTTGTTGCATGATAATGAAATATTATCGCAGTTAATTTTCTTTCTAAGCCGAGAAATGTCGTTTTACAAAATCCTTCTAAATATGAGTTTCTTGTTTTATCTTGCTTATTTCACAATATTTCAACAATTGTATATCTAGTACAATTTTTTTTCCTTCAAAATTTCCTTTCACTTTGAAATGAAATTGTTATTTTTCTATCGTAATATTTGATAGGAAAAATTCTTTATATTCACGGTATATAACAATAACTTTCTCTAAAATCACAAAATGACTCGTCTTCGATTGCTTTCCTTCATGCTTTTCAAATGAATCGATTTCAAATTCGATAAATGTTGTTAAAATCGTATTAAGTAAAAGTAGATAAAAAAGAAAAAAAAAACAAAAAAACAGAATAAACCAATAAAAAAGATCGCAAAAATAATTAGAATATTTTTAATTAAATATACGACATTTGAAATTGTTTTTGGTAACACGAGTTATCAAATTTTTCGAATAAAGAAAATAAAAAGAATACACACACGATTGCAAAATGAAGAGAAGGGAAACGACAAGAAGGGAGGAGAGGTGTCTCGATCGTGATCTAAGAAGATGATCGAGATGCAAGCCTCTTCACCATTTATCCGTCTCGTTGCAGTCCTCGTGTTCCAAGGACGTGCTCAACGATCGCTGAAATTCTTGAACCCTTTGTGTTTGTTGTTCGTGGTGAAGTTTTCGCCACTTGATTCGACGATTTTGAAACCAGACCTTGACCTGCGCTTCGGTCAATCTCAATGCATGGGCTAAGTATAATCTTTCGGGGCCAACCATGTATTGTTGACGAGCGAATTCACCTTCTAGTCGTTCCAATTGTTCGGCCGTGAAAATTGTCCTAACTCTCTTTGATTTTCCACCGCCGGGTGAACGTAAGCTCGAACTTCCGTTCTTCGTTGAACTTTCTTGACCTGTAAAATATACGAACACAAAAAATGCGCCTTCTCCAAAACAATCTCATGCGTGTAATATTTTTTTTTTATCATTCAATTTAACTATTATATTTTCTTTTATGGTTCACGAATAATTATAAATAATATTGCTGTGTATAAATTAATAGGTTAAGTCCCTATTATCATCTGTCAATTAATATACGACTTAAGATACGTATATAACAATTATTAAATTAATTCTCACTTTAGAAATTAATTCACAATGAAAATTTTCGTATTACGATCTATTTTGCACTAATTAAAAATTCGTTTGAGCTTGTAAGAGCTTCATAAAATTTAGAAAATTGTTCTCACGAACGTAACTAAGTTTAAAAACTGTCAAACGATAACCAATTAACCATATTGCATTGACAGTTAGCTAATTATCGTTGTCAATCGTTGGCTTTTATTTTCTACCGTGCATTGGTGTGAATATTTGAACTTGTTATAATAAAATAATAAAAAAAGAAAAAGAGAGAACAAAAATGTAATAAGCATGACAATAATTTAAATATTTACGGAGAGTACCCTGATGTTTTCTATATTGTTGCTGTTGTCCACGTTTTTCTCTTTGATTATTTCTCAAACCAAGAATCGCATCTATGGTGAAAGATTTGGCCTGTTGTTGTTGTTGAGCTTGAGAATGTTCCATTTGCGTGATGGAATGCGAATGGGGAAGTTGCGTAGAGAGATTTTGCACGGACAAATCTGTGCCTAACAAATGGGAACGTCTCATACGTTCCAAAGCTATCGCTTCTAATTCCGGACTTCTTTGTTGCACCTGAATATTTCTGAATTCACCGTGTTCCAAAATGCCAGGATTTTCCAATATTCCAGCATTACCACGTAGCCTTTCAAGCGTTAGATTACTTATATGATTGTCTCTAATTCGATCCAAAGACAAATTAAATTCCTTCATACGATCTAATCCATAATTTTTCAACAAACCAAAATCCTTGATGTCTCTTTCAATACCAAAATTAAGATCCTTGTTGCATCTGTCCAATGATGATAGCGACGGATGTGCATTTTTCTGTCTTGTTTCTCGTAAATTAAACAACAAATCTTTCGAGCTGGAATTTTTCGTTCTACAAAGTGACGTTGCCATTTCTATAGAATCATCGGTAGTCTCGTTTGTTCTTTCCAATGAATAATTCAAATTATTCAAGCCGTTCGTAGCATAACCGAAATCTTTTGTTTTGTTCAAGGTCATCGATACTCCACCTCTCGTAATGTCATTAGAAAATTCATCGAAACGCATCGATGTTCTACCCTCCAAACCAATATGAAAATCTTTTGGTTCGTTCGACGTGTCCTCTTTATTTTTATCCACTGACAAATTCAATTCTTTGACTCTTTCGTAATCTTGAAAGGCTCGTATTTGTGGTTCCGAATGATTGCTGTCGCTTCTACAATCGGATAAATCTTCTATCGTCAATCGACCCGTCGGATCGTTCGTCTCCATTGCTTTTTTTAACCGATATTATTTAGAATTTTTTTCTTCTTCTTTATTTTTTTCTCTCTCTCGTAAATATTATTATTATTAATATTATATTAATATTTATATATTCTTTAACTCACAATGAACTCTGATTACTTACAAATATTTCGTCGTAAAAGTCCATATAGTATAAAGTTTATTATCACCTAACAAAATATATTAATATTACATCACAATAACAACAAATATCAGTCCATTGTCTTTTTCCAAAAGAGTCCTATCACCATTACACCCACACAACGTAATTATCATTTGTTCGTTTCACTCAATACGATCGCAATAAAAAAATAATAAAAATTATTATAAAAACTTGTTGTATTTATATACATAAAAAAAATTATAAAAAAAGAAAAAACTATGCAAATCCGTAACCGTCGGGAAGAAACAACACGCGTTAAAACCTTCCTCTTTTGGAGAACCGAATGTTCGTTTACTGATAATCCCGTGTGTATTTTTTTTACAAAGGATCGAAGCTACTTTTTCGAAGGACGATAGCAAGGAAGAAAGTGGCAGGTAAAAGGTGTCGAAGCACGAATAGAATAACCGAGAGGAAGGACGAGGAAGACAGAGGTTTGGTCTCGACGAGAGAGTCGATCCATCCGCGCTGGCGCTTCGGAGCATCCGAGGATAATGATGTCAGCCACGAGAATCACCGCTATCACAGAAAGAGAGACAGAGACACGGATATAGTGATAGAGAAAGATAGATAGATAGATAGATAGATAGATAGATAGAGAAAGCGTGTGTATGTAGGTGTATGTGTTTGTATACAAAAGAGAGAGAGATGAAGATAGAAGGTAGGAGGTGGTAGAATTTTGTAGGATGGTGTTGTAGCAGGGTTGGCCCAGTGGTGGCAGGAGCAAGGATATCTGGCTAATGATCCCGTACGTGATGAGAGGGGTATTCACCGATGTTGTCTGCTGTTCACCCTCTTCCAGGACCGTCTTTCACCTCCGCAACCCCCAAATGGACCGCAGGATATCCTCTCGATGTACGGTCAATATTTTTTCGTTCGAACCGAGGAAGGCCGAGGCAAGCGAGATACGTCTCGAGTCCTGGTTGGCCGAGTCCTGCCATCACCACTAGTCCCTGAGACACGCCTACTAAGCGAGTTGCGCTGCGTAAGCGTTTTAGGATATACCTAAAAGAGGGTGGTGATGGTAGTGGTGGTGATGCTGGTGGTGATGGTGGTGGTGGTAGCCTTGTTTGCGGGGAGTCTGTTACTTTTTTCCACCACCAGCCGTCACCCTTCTTGCCCTTCCCTCTTTCCTTCTCTAAATCTTCCCTCTTTCTTCTTCTCTTACTTTAGAAAGATACAGGGAGTTGGATAGAGATAGATAGATAGACACAGAGAGAGATAAAGAGAGCCATTAATAAGCTTTCGCTTAGGGACTAGGAGCTGTACTTGGTCCAAGGGGTGCTACTTCTACGTATACGAGAATGAACACGAGTAAGATCCGTAGCAAGGTCTTAGCCAACTGTATAGTTTGCTAGATAGCTAGCTGGTTGGCTTGGTCACGGTGGTTCAAACCGAGAGTGTCTTCGCTTTTCAACGATGTCATCTGTGTCTAAGACGTAACGCTGCTAATTAGCTGTCTTCTCTAATTATGACGAGCTATTTTCCTTTTCCTCTCATAGCTTTTTCCCCTCTAACTTTTGATCCCTTTTTCTCAACGGAGACATCTCTGTTTTTCCATTTCTTTAGAATTCTTATAATTTCTCATCGTGTTATTATCTTTATTTCTTCAATGAAGTATATTCTTATTTCTTAATATGGTTTTACTTCTTTTTTTCTATCACCGTTCTTTACTTTCCTTTTTTTTTTTTTTGATTAATAAGAAATTACAAGAAAAAGATATATGATATTTTATTTTTTATAGATACGAGGAAGATTCAATGTAATTTAATGGAGAGTGTAAACACAGTTCTAAGGTAATTCTCGCGTCTTCGCATCGAGTGGGGTTTGCTTAATTGCTTCCATCTGGGCCGAAACTTCATCCACAATCCCCTCATTAGATGTTGACGAGCGTGCGGGAATTTCAGAACCTCGGAAAACCTCTAAGGAGCTTAAGGGTGCTTAATTACGATGAGCTTTTAAGTCATGTCAAAGGTATGCTTAAAGGCATGTTACATTGTGAAAAGTAACTTGTTCGTGACCGACATCATTGTTTAATAAGTATTATATTTATATTCTAACCTTTACTCTTTTTTTTTTCTAATATTTTACAGGTTTAAATCTTATCGATCATTATCATCTTTTCTTTTTTTTTTTTCATGTATCATATAAATATAATTTATAGTACTGGCTTACACACACACACGATGAGATATCCCAAAGAAATTCCCTATGAGGGGTATTGTGAAAACTTGTTCACTTATCTTGTTGGCACTTCTATGAGAGTAAAATTAAGCTATAAATTCGAAATTTACTTGTAGAACCTTCTAAATATTTTACAAAACGAGGAACGAGCTCGTGTAATTACGTCATATATTTCGCGGCGTGCTAACTTTGTCGCAAAACTTTGGCATTGTAGGATCTAACCTCGCAGAGTGTGATATCAAGGGGCAGGGGGTGGTCATGGTGATGGTGATGGTGGTAAAGAGAAAGGGGGGATTCAGGAATATGCAAACTTATCGCAGCTATAATGTAAAATATTGTATTTTCTTACTTGATAGCAAGGGGTACGTTGTTTTTAATTAAAATTTTCGAAACTTTCGTCGTCGATTCTTTCATCAAACGAAAACATCTTTTGAAAGATAATATAATCGTTTTGTATGATAAATTTATCTTATTACAGTAATTAATTTACAGTGGTTGATAATTTGTTTATCGGTAAATAAGACGATTTCTCGTTTCATTGCAAAGGTTTCAAATTCATTCCAAAATGAAACTGTTTTGAAACAAACGAAGAAATAATGGAAACTGCTAGGGAAGATTTTGGACATTTGGTGCCAGGAACAAGAAGAAGAACAAGACCAAGAACAAGAAGATCCCTTTTACGTTCTTATTTCACAGTGTATTCAGAGAGAAGATGGTAATTATTAGCTCAGTAGTAAGAAACCACTTTCGTCTTGTCTCTCGTAAAGAAAGTACAAGAGTTTGAAACGATTTAGCAAAGAAGACGGCTAACGTAACCTGCGACAAATGTTTAAATTAAATGGCCGGGTCGAGCACCACGCGGATGTAGGGTTTGAAAAGAATTTCTATTGAAGCCCGATAACCCCCACACACCCTACCCCCTTTTCTTCATCGTTCTCGTCCAAATGACTTGCGAGCGACTACACCCTTATTACGAGCCGAAAATTTATCACGGAAATTTCGGAGAGTATTTTACCCGGATAATTGCTCCGCTTTATAAGAGCCATTCTAGTCCCCTCCCCCTCGTCCACCCCTTTTCTGAACGAGCCAATATATAAGACGAAAGCGATCTTGGAAAGCTTCTTGGAATTTCCTTCTTCGATTCTTCGAAGATCATAGTAAATTCAGTTTGTAAAATTCTCCAAAAGGGATTTATTCTCTTTTTCATAGTAATTGATAATTTATTATTATTATTATTATTATTATTATTATATTTTTTTTGAAATTTCTTTTTTGTTTTGTTTTTTTCTATAATAAAATCAATACCAGCAATATATTATTATTATTTGATATTATTTTGTAAAGAAAATGTTTATAATAATCTATTAACGAATTAATTGAAAATTAACTCTTATTTGGATCATAAAGAATATTAAAAAGTTATTTCAATTTTATTGACATTTTCGTCTTAACACTTAACTACACTTAGGGGTACCAGTATCTAAGTCATTAATAAAGCAAGATTCGTCGTAGTAAGGAGTCGTCAAGCGGTTGGCTATTGTTTCGAAATTTAATCGTAGCAAGAGCCCCATGGTCTATCCCTAGCATTCGTGCTAACACCTATACACATAAATACATTCTCACACATACACACACAAATGTTCATTTATGCATATATACATATATATAGGAGTAAGGAAGGTGTTTCAAAGCAGTATTTGGTTCCTAGACTCCTAGCTAGCTTCTACATAGTACCTTATCGGCTCACTTCAACCTCTGAACACCCGAAACATTAGTTGGAGTAAGCAAGCAAGCAAGCAAGCAAACAAGGAAGGAACGAAGGAAGCTATCCAGTTGCCGCCTCGAGCTTTCATTCCACATGCGATATTAAAGCGAGGGCAATTAGCCGTGAGGGGGGGTTGTTGTACGTAGGAGGGTGAACGGGGTTGCTGCTGCGACGGCCTCAGAGCTGGCTTTCCCAGTCGTGCACTTGGTGGGGTCGTCTCGGATATGATTGGCTGTCAGCAAAGTTAATCCCAGGACCGGCCACACCCCGACATGTCTCAATCCAACCCCTCCTTTACTTTCTCTGTCTTCATTTCTCTCTCTTTCTCTCTCTTGCTTTACCATTTCGTAAATCCTACGTAGGAACTTTACCTTCTCCGATCCATTCAAAACAGGGATGAAAATTCATGTGGCAAAGCTTCTTTTCGAGACACCGAATCCCATTTTAACATTGCTAGTTGATACGATCAGTTTGTTATTAAAGAGAAATATTGTAATTAATTTAATCAAATTAATAATAGACTTGTCACATATTTCTCTATAATGTATAATATTATCTGTTTTAATTATATTATCCGCTAGTTCAATATGATGGATTATTTTTTGTTTGTTTATTAAAGCGATATATATTTGTTCTATTTTCTTTTTCTTCTTGAAAATATCGTAAGTAATGTTTTCCTTTAGCAGTTTATTTTATTAAAAATATTTCAATAGGATATTATACATTATTCAACAACAATTCGTTTAATATATGCAGTTATATTTAACGAAGTGATTAATGATGACGATGCAGGGAATGATTTATTAGAGTATGTTTATTTATTCTCACGTATCGTAGACCTAATTTTCGATGTCTGTATCATGGAGAAGAGGTGGTAATGATTTCGGTTAATGTAATCCATCTTGTCAAGTTGACGACGACGACGACGACGACGACAAAGACGAAGACAACGAAGACGAAGGGAAGGTAGAAATACCCTAATGGATTTAGGGAAATTATCGTATTTTCGAAGCTTTCCACGTTGGGCTATGTCAGACTCAATAACGTGCAGTTTAGACGAAATCCGCTTGAAGAAGATGAAAGGAAGTTTAAGACCTCCATCTAATAAGAGGTCCGTAATAAAAATTCCTAACAGAGTAAAAGAGAAGGGTGGTAGTGGTAGTGGTGGTGATGGCGATGCGGGGGTGGATGGGGGGGGGTTGAGTCGAACGTAAAAGGGCGAGTTAAAGTATGGAAGAGTTTGTTCGGGGATAAACGATCGAAGGAGAGAGAAAATTAACTTTTCTCATACGAAAGATCAAAGCTTTATAATAATGTTTCGTCTTTCGTTTCTATCTTCGTTTAATACTGTAGAAATAAAATAATGAAAAAAAAAAAAAAATAAATAAATTGAAATCGTTTAATTAAATAATATTTCTATTTTTCATTTTTTTAAACGGACGATAATTTTATAAAAAAGAAAGAATTAAATTTGTTGTTAAATATAATTTGTATAGGGTATTTGTTTTATTTTGTAATAAGGGTATATAAATTTGTATATAAATTTGTTAATTCATAGTAAATCAAGGCATATTTTTAACGTTATATGTATCACGATGACGTATTCAGTATACGTAATTAATTACCGCAGACTGACGTTCGCTGTTCATGTAAATACGCGTAATTACGGTACAAACAAGTGGACGTTTATTTCCTCGTTGAACAAGAAGCTATTCAGAGAGATGAGTTTTTCTACAGTCGTTGTGCGAATGAGACTAGTTTTCTAAAAAGACGAGTTTTCTAAACGTTTACTTTTTCTTAACGTATCAATTTTCTATTTAGATTTGTCTTGATACACGTGGGAATAATTAGATAATAATCGATCGTGTTTGAAAATTAATTTGTGTAAATATGGGATTGTGGAGATTATGGAAAACGATGAAGAAAGAAACGGAAGATGTCGACGAAGAAAATTCTAGTAAAACGTGTTTGAAATCAGGTCCCAAACTTTTACGTTTGGTTTCTTCTTTGGAGTAAGTACGAATGTTATGTTAATATATAATTTTACTTTTTTTTTTTTTAAATATTTATTTTATTTCTATTCTAATTGCATGCAATTTGTACTTTTGCTTTGCCATTATATACTTTTCGTTTATTTATTAAATTTATTAAATTATTAATTTTATTTTATTTATATCGAACGATATTTATTACGAAAATACGAATTTTATCTAGTATTTATTAATTATTTATTTGCAATTATATTTTTTTTGCAAATATATATATATCGATCATAGTAATGTGTTCTTAATATTATTATTTACGTATAATACTATTGATACACATTACGTTATTTTGTAATTAATATTCATTAATATAAATAATCTCGGATTATAAAGAAAGAAGTTATAAAATAATTTCATCTTTCTTTCTTACGTTAGATAATATAGGTATATGACACATTTACATAATCAACAAAAATGATAGGATCACGCAAGTGTCCATTTAAATTTCCCAAAGTTTCTATTTAAGCTGATTAAATTCTTAGGAAAGGTCTCGTGCAAGTATCATGTTTAGTCGTTTAGTTTTGTCTGATTATGGATATTATTGGGTCTTCCATGAAATACGTCTAACCTTACGATTTACCTTGTTATCCAATTAATTAAGAAAATTAATATCTTAGATAAATTCTATTTAACATATTTCGTTTAAATTCTTGTCTTAGAATCGTTCAATTTCGAAAGACAAATTGATTCTGCAAATTTGTCAATAGTTTAACAAAAGAAGTTACAAAAGTTGATGGCAAGAAGAAGAAGAAGAAGAAGAAGAAGAAGAAGAAGTTTTGAAATTTCGTAACGTTTCAATTTCACGCTAGTGAATTCAATCTTGGCGTAATTCCTTCAAGGATCCTTTCTAATATCACACACCGTGAAATTTTCTTATTGAAAAAAATACTTTTGTTATTTTTTCTTTTTTATTTGTTCAGATATATGCATTAAATTAAATATTAGATTAAAATTGTATGATTCAACTTGTTTCTTTAATCAGTTAGAAGAAAAAAAATGACGAGAATTCATTATCAGTGATCGAGATGATGTCATTGCACTAGTAAATTATCAATTTATCGTCAACGGATGTGCTGCTTGAATTGTTCTTTTCTATTTTTATTATTTATTTATTTTTTTTTAATGAATTTGTAATTTCTATTTATATATGACACGTATTTATACAAGGATAACAATATTATATTTATAATTATTTGATTGAAATTAAAAAAAACAACATTTTTTTCCTTTAATTAAGAAAAGCTGTTGGATTACATGGAATTATATTTCAAATAATGAGAAAAAAATTTCTATGAACGATTACTCTACGAATACATTTAAATACATTTAATTATAAATATAATATAAAACAATGACAAATATAAATGTTATTCTTATTTTGTGTGTGTATGTGTAATTATATTATTTATTCAGATAATGCAACCAAGTAACTCATTGAGTGTTCAAATCACCGGGAATTCCCTAGTGCGAGCAGTTGTAAGAGTATAAGCCAATCAACTTAAAGTTGTTCAATAATCATATATATGTTAGTTTGTTCATGTGTTCACTTTTCTTGATAAAAAAGAAGACTAAGGAAAAACATATGATCTTGTTATAAAAATCAGTGCCGTATATCAATAAAATCGATCATGCACAATAATGTGTTATTAACCCTTATAGTTCTATGAACAAATATATGCGTTTAATAAAAATTACCAGAGTGGTCTATCTACGTCTATATACGTTAGATTTGTTAATATTAGTATAAAATATAATGTAATTTTTATATTAATTAATTAAATTATATTCAGAAAGAAAAACTTTGATTATTAAATATAATTTATTATTAATAAATTATTCCATTCCTACAAAACATTTTAATTGAAAGTATTCACAGCATTCAAAGGATTTAAATAGAATTTCTAATGAATAATAAAATAAAAAAAAGATTATTTAGAAATTATTTCAGGGAAAATGAAGAAGAAAAAATAAAACATTGAATTTACTTTTTCTGTAAGACTATTTTATAGTACACTCATGTTCCGCCATGCGCATGAATCCTATAATATTTGGTTATGACTGTATTGGGAAATTCCCTTTGATACTGAAAGGATTATACACTCATGTGTACGTTTGATTAAAAAAAAAAAAAAAAAAGACTTCAAGAGAAATACAAAAGGAACACATCGTTAGAAATTCAGTCAGAGATCTTTGGTTTTGTGACGTTGAACGTGCACGTAGCTTCCCATTCTTTGTTTAAAAATCGTTGCAATGCGTAGCATGCATCTCTATAAAATAAAACTGCCATAATTGACAATGAGGAACATAATCGTTGTGTTTAAAATATTATCTCTTCTCATCTTTGTTTTTTCTTCAATTAGTTATTATCTTTCGTTGATTTCATCATAGATATATTATACCGTTATGTTCTTTTTTCAAATGATACTTTGTTTTGGAGAAGGGTTTATCGAACATTTGTCAATAAAAATCAAAAGTTAAAAGTTTTAAAGGGAACTCGTTATTTGAGTGGTGGGAAAATACGAGCAGGTAAACTAAATAAATATTTAAAGTGTGTTATATGTGTGTGTGTATGTATAGATACCTACAGATACCTGTAAGCTTTGAGGATCGAGCCCTTATTCACTTTACTATAAGGGATTATCTTTATTATATAAGATAGTGTACATCTATGGTGTTTATTATATTTGTATGGTGTATATTATATGGTGTATATTATATATGTAATTACTAATTAATAAAATTATCTGAAATATCGTCTGTTACATACATATTACGTTTAAATACAAAAAATCCTCTACACATGTTATTTTTTTTATAATAAATTAAATAATATAAAATAATTTTTAATACATATATATATATATATATAAAATCTAAATATTATTTTTTAAAAATATATGTTGGTTTTTAGTTACGTAATGAAATTTATTTAAATATTAATTCCTACTCTCTATTTAATCCTTCATTCAAACAATGTTTGTAAGTCATTAAAAAATAATGAAAAAAAAAACATTCGTAAATCTAGTGTTAAGAGATTCTAATTGTTATTACTTAAAAAGTATAGACTAAACAGTAAACTAAATGAAAAAATAAACCTTAAACTAGGGATGATCTTCTGCAAACCATGTGCCATGTTTTTTTTTGAACATACAAGCTCGATTGCGCCATATACAATTCAATTACGCAACTAAATTAATTAATGTACATCAGAAAATATGAAAATGGATTTACAGTCAGTTATGGTACCTGTTTCAAAAAAAAAAAAAAATAAATAAGTGGAAGGATATAATACACCATTTGTAATCATCTAATGCGCCACGTTTGACGAATTCATTGTACAGCCCTGTTATAAACACAGTCCCTTCCTCGGTGCATACATATACAATCAGCTTGTTAGCCTGTTAGCCTGTTCAGTCGTGTACTTTCCATTCTATACTTCGGACACTTCGTTCAGACAATATATTTATATAAATACAATTTTTAAATCTGTATAAATTATAAACAAATAATAATATCGAGTCAAAGATATAAGTCGCAGATATAAAATATATTAAAAAAAAAAAAAAATAACAAAATATCTGTTAATATCAATTGATCAAATATTTGAACCGGTATTCAGTATCATCATGATGATTACAATGAAATAAAAATGAATGAAATTCATTATTAATCGTTTACAAAAATGAAACGTTAAATGAGTGAACAATTGTGTATCTGATAAACGTGCCGATATATTTCTTGAGAAAATATTTTAATGAATAAAAATATGTCTATCATGCTCGACAACGAGCCTGAAGTAGATACAACAGACAATGTTTGTTTACGTAATAAAACAAAACTAAGAGAAAGAGCGAGTCGTTCAAACACCTCTTCATCTAGTTCGAATTCATCGGCATCGTTTATTTATGTGTCTATGGAAGAAGTATTATCAGCGTCAAAATGCGAATTAATGTTCAAGAACCACATTACGGAGAATAATCGAATGAACGGTGTTACTTCGTGGTATTTAAAAATCAAACGAGAAGTATTAAAGAGTCTGAGGAATAAGGTTTATCCAATTGTTGCATGTGGGTGAGTCATTCATTCATCAATATTCACTTTACGTATATCGCATAGAATCGATTATTATAATAATTATTTATACTTTACACGTAAGAACGAAATTTATTATTTTGGACACGATAACTAATCTAACTATAAAGTGGGAATGTTATAAACAAAATTTAGGACATCGATTTATTTAAAACAAGAAAATTTTTAACCCTTAAAGTGCTATAAACGCATATATGCGTTTGGTAAGAATTACTAGAGTGGTCTCTATTGAGGTCTATATGTACTTGTTAATATTAATGTAAAATAATGTGTAATGTTTATTTTATTTTATTATTTAATATTATTATTATATTTTTTATAATAATTATTATATTAATTAATTAAATTATATTCAGAAAGAAAAACTTTCATTATTAAATATATAATTTGTCATTAGAATTTGATTAATAATAAATTATTATTGTGTTCCTACAAAATATTTTAGTTAAAAGTATTCAGCACTCAAAGGGTTAATAATAATGAAGAAATAAAAAAAAACAAACAAACAAAAACAAGTAATCCGAGCGAAATTCGATTTAACGATCCCGTGGTTACGAACGCATGTTAAACTTTTTCCTTTTTTTTTTCTTTTTTTTTTTTCTTTTTTTTTTTAAACGATTGAGTATTGGGTTTTATCGTTTTTGCACAGTGCATGATTCTAATGGACCGTTGTGATTATGTTGAGTTTACAAAAAAAAAAAAAAAGAAATAGGTATCCTGAAATTTGTGACTATCTCTACTTGTATGCGATAATGCACTCTTATCGTGCTACTTTACAAAGAAATTTACTGAATTATCTACAATGAAAAAAAAAAAAAAAGGGGGAAGAGTTTAAAAAACTTCGGAAATGTGAGCATGCGGAAAAAGCAGGTAGTCTTCATCGTATAGAAATATTCAGGTGTGGATGAGTCAGTCTCTGGTGAACGATAGTCAACGATATAAGTTCAAGTTCTAGGACTAAATAAAGGTGAACAAGAAAAGAAAAAAAACCAAGTCGTTCAACTTTGAACAATTTAAAAATACTATTTTTTCTTTATCTTCTTTAACCAACTTAATTTTGATCTATTAAACTATTTTTTTTTTTAATTGCAAATATATATTTGTATTTTTTAAATAATAATATGAAAAATAAAATGAAATTGTTTAGGGACTTTTTCGTAAGATAGAAAAAAAGAGAAAGACTAAATTCACATGTGTGTGTGCCATTACATGGTATTGAACGGCACACGTGTAATGGACTTCCTGTGTCCATCGAACCTGAACGCAGTAGGGTCCACGCTCCGTGATTTGACTTGTCCTTTTATCTGTTTTCCTGAAAACACCTGCACGCGATACGAAGTTTCTATGATTCATTTGATTATTTTTTATTGTACTGAAAATTGTTGCTATTTGTTAAATAATTGACTATTTTATCTAACTTATAAATCATATGTATAAATACTAGGATGCTCCGGACACGTGTTGCTGTAGTTTTGTTATAAAACGTTGATTTAATATAATTCTAAACTATTTAGTAAATAATAACAACACACACAAAATAAAACCACAATTAGAATAAAATACATAAAATAATAATACACGAAAAAATATAAAAAGTAAGATTAGTTTTATCGAAATAATTCAACTGTAATACAGTACCATCTATTGAAAACTTACAGTATCTAAAGAACAAGATAACCTCTAAATAATTTAATCCTTAAATTTGCGAATGAAAAATAAAAAATAAACGCGATAAGAACTATCCTATAAATTAAATTGAAAAAAATCATACAAAATACAAAACAAATTTCAATAAGATCGGTTCAGTAGTTTTGAAGTTTATTGCAAACCAACAACGTGACACTGTATTTTTCAATATAAAGATAATATACATAAACTTCATTTTTTTGTTCACATTTACAAAAAAAAAAAAAGATATAAAATAAGTTATTACTTATAACATAAATTAAATTAATATAATTATACAATATTAACAAATCAACGTAAAATATATATATATATTTTTAATAAGATAATTAATTAAGAGATAAAAAAATAAAATGAAACTTGAATAAGATAAGAATATAAATACGTAAATTCCGAGTAACATCAAGCGATTTTTTTTTTTTTATCTAACTTTCTTATCTTATACGTATTCATATTTTAATGAGGAAAATATAATACTTCTGTATAAATGTGATTATCTATAAAATTCGCATGAAATTAACCCACAGAAATGAAATCATTAATGAGGAAATAATCAAAGATTAATCATAAACAAGTATTCCATATGCGTACATCACATTACTATGATTTTTCCATATACGTACATCTCAACACACTATGATTTATAATTTCGTAATGGTTTTTATCCATTCACGATAATATGATATTTTTGTATAAACTCCGGAAACTTTGCCACAATTATAACCGAAAGATACGATGCCATAAATCGTATGAGCATCAGCCAATGGACCGCCGGAATCTCCGTAACATGAATCCTTGCCGCGTTTACCGTAACATAGATGACGATCCCTTCTAACGAGTAATTTATACAATGGTACTGAGTTGACACAGGCTTTAAATGGAACGTAAGGAATGTTAACAGTCATCAGAGTGTGATGAGAGTTACTCTGAAAAAAAAATTAAAAAAATATATTCTTTTTTTTCGATGATTAAAAATATTTCGTTAATTTCCACATTTGTCTTACGATATAAATATTTATTTTATTTTTATTTTATTTTCGTTTGTATTTTATTTTATTGGGTTGTTCGGAAAGTTCGTACCGATTTTTGGTAAGTGGCATAAAGTTTTTTATACTAAAACAACTTGAGAAATTTTGGAAAGTCGAAATTTTGAAGTTACCCTTAAAGATGGAGAAAGATAGTGGAATAGAATGGCACTTATATATAATGTAATAAATATATACCAAATAAAAAAAACTTAAATGCGTTGCGTTTCAATCTTCCGTCAAAATCAGCACGAACTTTTCGGACAATCCAATATTTTGTTTTTGTTCATTTACGTTCAATGATGTTAATCCCCAACCAGAAACATAAAGTCTACGTGGTTTTTTATCATCGTTCGGTAAATTAATTGGTCGAATTGTCGAAGAGAATCGAAAGGGCGGTGATACTTCAAAAAGGGCAATATCGTGATAATAAATTTTTGAAGACCAGTATGGATAAGTTGTTTCATCGTAAGTATAAATATTTGTCACATTGTGTAACGTTCCACCGTGATCGGTATAATTTGATCCAGCACGTACATGGTAATTATTTTCATCTAAAGAATTACTGATAATACACATTTCATTAAATATCTGTATATAACTATTATTGTATAAAAAATATAAAATAAAATATAAATAACGCAATTATTACAAACAATGAAGCGCAGTAATAACCCATTTTTTCGACAGTATACTTGCTCCACATTGAAAATTGTTTAATTCGTCGTGCAAAGATACCTGCAAATTAATTTAATTTATATCGATTTTTAAAAAACACAAATAGTTCTTTTTTTTTATCAATTTGAAATAATATAATAATGATAAACCATAAATGGACGTGATTTGATGTTAATACGATGACCTCCAATAATTCTGTGTTTAACATTATGCATTTCTTGTTCATTATGTACACTACGATAATCTAAAAATTGCAATATTATTTGTTATTGGAATAATTGTTAATATATTATAAGTTATATGTATTTTTTGTACTTACATATTAAACAAATAAAAATGACGGTCCAAAACATTTTTCTAAAATACCACTTGAGTGGTAGAACACTCGCTTATTATTTGTAATATTGGTTACGTCATCTTTCGTAAATGTCATTGAAATTATATTTTATTAATTTATTTTTATTTTTTTTATCTTTAAATTTTACAATTTATAGACTATCGTAAATTATGTATTTATTTAAATGCGAGTTGTATGGATTGTTTAATCTTCAAAGTTTATGCAACAGGATGAAATTAATAGCTTACAATTAAAATATCTTAGAGATATAGTACATGAAATATTGTTTAACAATTTAAAAAAGATTATCCCTAACCTTACATAACTCTAATTTCATAAATAAATGTTACACGAATTGTTAGATAACGTTAATGTTCCTTTTTTTTTTTCTAACATAAGATTTTATTTAGACATTTTTTTTTTTACATATATACACTATATGTGTATATAAAATAATTGTATATTTTGTTTATACGTTATTTATAATTAAATCATGATAATAATCATGTTTCATATATATATATATATAAATTCTTATATTTATTTATTTTTTATCTTTTAACATAAGAATCATTTCTTCAATTATTTATTCATTTTGTTTCACATCGGATTTATTATAATATCGTAAATCGTTTTTGAAAATAGGTGATCTACGTTTGCGTTTTTTTAACCATTCGTCTTTTATTTCAAATGAATTCGTATTCTCTTTATTAGCATTACCGAGAGAAAACAAGACAGAAACGAAACCAATAGTTTCCATGAACATGGTCGTTAGCAATAAATTATTCGCGAGATTAACCAGGATACTATTTTCGTACGCCGTTCGAACGTTTACACGATTAATCGAACGAATTAACTTTTCGAAAGATTTATCAGCAGCTTCCTTCAATTCTGTAACAATCGATGAATCAGATTTTATTCACCAAAATCAATTATTATTTTAAAAAAATTTATTGTTCTATTAATATTTGTCCAATTATTACCATTTTTAGTTGTATCTGAAGCAATTTCTTCATTTTCCATGTCATCTTCTTCGTAAGAATTGAAATCAGATAATTCGTATGAAATATCTTGCGATTCAATTGAAAACAAAGGCTGTGACGTAGTAGTCAAAATAGTTGTCTCATTTTTCTTGTCTTCTTCGTAATCGCAGAATGAAAATAGTTTGGACATCCAATCGGAAATGCAATTCAAAATTCTAAGATGACTTTGCCAATTTTCGTTCAATGCCATTTTAATTCCACCGACGATGA